CTAGCGCTATTATCTCGATAGTGCTTAGCACCCTATTTAGGTCTATACGGACTATAATAACCTCCGTAGAATCACGAAGGTTACTAGGGTTATAGGTCGATAGGCTAGATAGGCCGTCTACCTCGCTAGGTTCGATTTTAATATATTACATTAGCTAGGCGTAAGTAACCCTGCTAATAGCCTATCGAGGCGACCTAATTACGATAGCGAAACCTAATACATTAATTCTCTGTTTCTAACCCTATAGCATAAGATTGCTATAGACCTTGCTATAAAGCAGGCGTAGGATAAGCGGACTTCCGGACCCCGCGGCGGCAACAAATACTATAGTAGAGTTGTCGTTCTTCTAGTGCACGTTAAAAAGGACGTAGATCGCTCGAGCTATAACGACTCGATTAAAGATATTGCTATCTATAGCGACAGCACTATAGAAGAGGTTGCAGTTAATCCGGCTACTAGTGCTATTAGATATATATAATGCGTACCTCGTTCGATAGCGAGGGTGCTATTAAATAACCTTATAAATAGGGATAGTTAATCGTTTATAGATAAGCTATTACGTGCTTAGCAGAGGGACGCCTTTGCTATCGAGCGCATTAATAGGCTTGTAAGTAGGCGGGCGACCCGATCTAGTAAGAGTAATAACAATTAGTCGATCGACGATAAAGGTTACTTAAAGTTTAAAGGCAGATACTATATCCCCGCTAAACAATCGATTAGACAAGAGCTTTTAAAGAGGCACTATAATAGTAAACTCGCTAGTTACTATAGCATAGAGAGGTCGCACGAGTTACTATCGCGTATATACTACTAGCCGAATAGTAAGCAGCATATAAAGGAGTATATATAGACCTATGCAGTATACTAGCGAGTTAAAGCACTAAAGCACTTACTATTTGGCGAGTTGTCTTTACTCCCTATTCTAAAGAAGCCATTTGCAGAGCTTATAATAGATTTTATTATAGGTCTTCCCCCTACTAAGCGAAGAGGAAGCAAAGATATCTTTAACGCTATCCTAGTCGTCGTAGACCGATTTACTAAGGGCGCTCGTTACATCCCTGCTAGGAAGGATTAGATAGCTATTAACTTAGCTAAGTTACTATAGAATAACATCTTCTATAGCTATTAGGGAACCCCTAAGGGGATAGTCTCTAACCGAGGCTCGATATTTATATCTTACTATTAGAGTGAAATATGCCTATAGCTAAGACTTAAGTATCGCCTATCTATAGCATTCTATCTATAAACAGATAGCTAGACCGAGAGGCAGAATGCTACGCTATAGCAGTACCTGCGTAGCTATATTAATAAGAACCCTAACGACTAGGTTAACCTCCTATAACTAGCCGAATTCGTATATAACAATAGTGTCTACTTATCTACTAAGGTGTTACCTTATTTCGCTATAATAGGCTAAAACGCTACTATGCTATAAGACCCCTTGTCGCTCGAGGCCGAGCGTAAGGAAAGGGAAGCGGGTTAAGGTTAACCTAAAACACTAGCGGCTATTAAGAGGGTTTAGAAGATGCGAGAAATTCACGCTAACATAGCTAATAAACTAGCAAAGGCCTAGGCCTATTAGAAGGCCTACTATAATAAACACTATATGCTAATAACCTTTAAGTAAGGCGATATAGTTATGCTTAGTACGAAGAACCTCCGTATCCGCAAACACCTATCCCCTAATAGCAAAACAAGGCCTAAGCTCGTACTAAGATACATTAGCCTATTCCGTATTCGAGAAGTTAAGGGCTCCTCCGTATAGGCCTATTAGTTATAGCTTCTACCTTATTATACTATCTATAATACCTTCTACGTATCCCTCCTTAAACTATACTACTAGCGTAAAGGCGATAAAGCGCCTACTAAGTTAGAAGAAGTCTTAGCTAATAGTAAAGAGCTATAGTCTATAGAACGTATCCTAAAGCATCGGACTAGGTAGGGCAAGAAGGAGTACCTATTAAGATAGTAAGGCTATTTACCTAAATAGGACTTATAGGAGGCTAAAGACTCGTTTAAGGATATAACTAAGTTATTAGATAAATATTAGACTAGCGTAAAGAACACGAAGAAGGCTAAGAGCTTATAATGCCTATAATATTACTACTAAGCCTAGGATTAATGCTACCCCCGGGGTGCTATTAGCTAACTAATTAGAGGTAAGCAATTATTAGTAACAAAGGACAATAAGACTATACTACTATAGTAGATACGCACCGAACGTTAACAAACGCGCTATAACTGTTAACTAATCGCCTGCTCTTTTAAGGAACCTACCTCTTTACTAGCGCACCCTATAAGACCCTCCTTTTAACGCCCCCTCTTATTCCTTCCTTCTATCGAAGCCTCGAGGCCTAGGCGATCGGCGAGGGCGGTGCGTATACGCGTAGAATAGTAATAATAATAATAACGACGGCGTCTCGCCTATACTAAAGGGCAGCACGGCTAGCGCGGCTATATTAGTAACGGTATTACGGAGTGTGTTATTAGTAGAAGGAGGAGATTAGAAGCGAGGTAAAGTTGGCGCTAAGACGACTAGCGCCGCTATTGTTAATATTACTTGCTATTATCGCTACGCCTACAGATATAACCTTACCTATACTACGAGCCTAAGGCACCTTTAATTAAAACTTTAATTAAAGCTTTAAGCCTGTTAAAGGTTTAATTAAAACTTTAAGGCCGAGTTAAAACTTTAAGCCGCTTAAAAGATTAAGTAGACTAATAGACTAACTAACTAAGGGCAAAACTATAGAGCTAAGCTAGCCGGGGTCGATCTTGCGGACAATAGGTTACTCCTCGATCTATCTAACCCTTTAAGCGAGGCGAACCTCTACTACTACACTTATAATAGCCTTTACCTATAGAAACTAGACGAGCTATGTTTTTTAAAAGATAAGATAAGATTGACAATTAAAGGCTACTAAACCTAACTAATTAGGGCTAGTGAAACTACGATAGTAAATAATAGCCCTCGTAATAATAAGAGCAACCCTCGGAACGGACAAACCCTCGGAGCGGACATTTCTAGCTCTTTTAGAGTAGACACAAAGAACTCGGTACGACATTACTTAGAACGGAGGCAGGGCTGCAATACCTCGTACGTCTACCTATTATAGCAAGGAAGACGCGCTCGTATTATAATTAGTCGAAGGCCCTCAATTTTCGTAGCTATATATTACTTTATTATATACAAGGATAGCGTAGTTAGAGTTAGACATTGTATTGCGTTAGAGGTAAGGTTTAACATAGTTATATAATCGGTAGTTACGTGTTTAATTTAGCGCGAATCGAGCAGCTTATTAGACCTGCTAAGTTAGTAGCGATAGAGGTTAGAATAAAGACCGGCTACGAGGGCGCGGCCTTTAGAAGGGAAGCGTATATTAGGACTAAAGAGGTTATACGTAATTAGTATATAACTAGGCTCGAGTAAAGCTAGGGTCTTAATGCCTTAGGCAGGGCTTGGCGCTTGGCGTTAGGCTAACTTGCCTGTCTTCCTCCCTCTCTTCTTAGCTCTCTATCGAATACTATACTAATTTACTACTACCCTATCTACCTACTAACACAACCCTTTTTACAGAAGGTAACGAGCGTAGATTATCGGATAAAGAAGACCTACTATACGAGGAGCATTATAAGAGCCTGTTTCTATTACGTATACGACCGAAGGATATAGCTAGAATTGCTAAGCAGCAATAGTAATAGCGTACGTATAAGGACATTGTTAAAGAAGAGTCCGATAGTAACGTTAGTAACCTATTTAATACAACTATAGGCCTTAGTTCTTAGTTATAGCCGTATAAGTTAGATAACTAGGAGATAGATTTAGGGTAGGTACTCGATCTATTACTCGCGGAGAATACGGAGCTACCGGAGATGCCCGAGGATGCAGAATATACATAGATACTACCTTATTTAATGCTTCTAAACATACAGTGTTATCGCGGTAGAGCCGCTATCTCTCGTATAGGTGTAGGAAGTAAGAAGTCCGTATTCGAGTCCTTTAAAGCCCGCTAAGCCCGAGATACCGGGCTTTACGAAGGTGCACTAAATACTACCTATACTAGCTACTTATATATATATACGACACGAGGTGTTAATCTACTTACTCCGGGCTTTTATATAATATAAAAATCACATATATGCGATGCGTAGTAGTAATATAAATAGTAGGTAAATAGCGGTAGTAGTATTATATAAAGCTAGCAAGAACTCGAATTGCTAGCACTATATAACAACCCTATTACCTTATATAGTAATAGAACGTTCTAGCACTATTGTAATAATACAGAATCGAGCGAGAGGGCTATTTACTATATAAAACACCTGTTTTTACCGACTATAGGTCATTTCCGGATAGGTAATAGGTTTAGTTAGTAGTTTACGGATAGGTATAGACTACTCGCGTAGCGAGCCGCGTTTGCCTCTAATTTAGCTACGGATATCTAGTTTAGTTAAAGTGCTTTTCAGCTTGCCTACTTTTAACTACTAGTAGACCGTTCTAGCACTTCTTGTCTCGTATAGCGTGCGCGAGAGTTACTAATAAGTTGCAGATACGTAAGACGACATTAGAGTTATGCCGAGGATGTACGATTAGGGTGTTTGCGAAGCCCGCATAGCGTTTAGCTATATCTCTCTATATACGATAGGATGCCGGCTAGCTCCTTTATATCGCTAGTAAGCAGCCGGTCCGCTATCTATAGCTTTAGAAATATGCCGATGTGATCTGTATTTGTTTAGTATTGTTACGATGTTAAGGATTTTCTAGCATATTATGTTTAGCCTCGAGGTTTCTTTCTCTCCGTAGGACGCAAAACAGCGATAGATTATTCAGCCTTGTTGTCGAGCCTAACGCTGAAGCAAAAGAAGTCTGGTTGAGAATGAGCCGGACTGTGATAGAATAAGCGATAGCTCCTGAAGCCTAAGTAGTGACAATCGCCCGAAGCACCAAAATTACTCCCACAAGCGTGCTATCGGGTATCATAATGTAAGGAGTGTGCCGTTCAGATGACATGGTCGCGCGGGAGCGTCTTGAGCTGCAACGCGATCATGACTGCGGTATTAGGCGCTGTACGATCCAGTCCGAGGTGCGAATCTAGCATTCAACTCATACTTCGATGTTGTTGTCCACACCTGCGAAGAGGCTATCGCATGCAATGCAGTATCGAACTATTAGCCGCACGATGCCGCGCGGAAGGATTTCTGGGCAAGGCCTCATTTGGAGATAGACTAGAGCAGCACTGACAGGGACGCAAAGTGCGCTGTCAGGTGCCAAGTGGCATGTAATCAGCCTCCATGCTTGGGAAGGACTACCTGTAGGACTAGCTAGTCACTACTGCACTCACCTTGGACTAGATAGGCAATTGTCTCGGCTAAACATTCTGGTCCTTTGGTCGGCAGAGGAGCTATCAAAGCCAAAGATAGGCGGGTGGCATATTGCACGTGGCCCCGCTACCTGTCAACCCGAAAGCTAATTACTGTGATATCGTGGTCGTAGTCGTACTGTCGTAGTAGGCAGGTCCAGGGAGAAAGGCTTGGGGCATACTCTTGCCGGCGTGTGATTCTGTCATCATTACGACCTTCAGCTTCGGTTTGTGCTATCATGCATGTTTGGTGATCATGTCTTCGGTCCTGTCTAGATATGTTGTAGATATGTTGATTGTATGATGCAGAACATAAGAGCGAGCGATGCTTCGGGCATTGTTGACCTGTGATCACAAATGCACAGGCGTGCTCAGAAGTACAGGCTGGAACTCCACTCTTTGGTCGTCCTACCACGTTGTGCACTGCTTCATCCACGAGACTACTAGAATAACGGTTACGTACACAAGTAATGCTCCATTCACTTGCAATCAAGATGCGCCTCAAGTCTTCCGCCCAAGATAGATAACTCCAATATCAATATTCGACGAGCTCCCGAGACATTTTTCACCATTCCCTTGAAGCACAACTCGACCTCCCACCGTCACCTGCGTGTTCTCTCCTTTGGACAAGATATAGATCGTGCAGTGCGCGGGATAGATATTGAACGTCGCTTCGGTTCCGATGAACTGGATGGTCTGCTCCCAGTACTTTGACACAAATATCTGCTCGCCATTGGGACGCGTCCATTTGCCGACCTGCGGATAACCGGGGAAGCCTCCAGCTCTGAAGTGGATATCTGGAGCGGTGCTACGGGCGTGAGAGTTAGCATGCGACGGCTTTGAAGAGCAGCAGAATGTGCAAGACGAACACAATGCATGTATAACCGTGCATAGAGCAGGCCCGCGGCAGCCATCCGTTGCCAGTCACCGCGCTTTGAGGCTCGACTTGGTACGACACTGGCTGCTTGTATACCACGGACAGCCAGTTTTGGTCCGAGACGGGGCACTTCGGGCAAGGTGGTACATCGCGGGTCTCTAGATCGCGCTGAACGCTGCGGGATCCATATGCGTCGACAGCGATTGCTGCACTGAGGGAAATCAGATGGAGGAAGAACTGCATGAACTGCTGAAAGCGTAAAGACGACATTGTTGAAGGGTTTGTACATCTCGTCTAGAATACTTTGCCCGTTATATGCTGCCTACGAGTTTTCGCAGGTTATGCCCTGTTGCTGAAACCGGGCCTGCATCACAGACAGCACCTGGATACCTGGCCTGGTAGCATGGCAGGTTTCGCTCTAGTAAAGATCTATATTAACACTACTGTTTAGCGATACGATTGCCTAAATCTGAAAATAGTTCTGCCTAGGATCCTTACGTAAGATCTAGTAGTATAAGTAGGGAATTAGCATTCCGAGTCCTGTTTCGTAAGCTATTCTCGTTATAGACATACCAGGATGTGTAGTACCACGGTGGTGGCACCAACACTTCGTCAGACTTCGTACCTTGCGCTCCGAGGCTTTCCGGTATAGCGGTATAATATTCTCGAAATTAGGTACAGCCCGAGATGAATTCTAGCCATCTAGCAACTAAACTTTTCTAGAGGTGCTGTGAAGCGCTGTGGAACCTCATAGGTTGTACCCTTGGAGTGGGGTTTGCTAGACTTTGCTTTCTGGAACTACTATGCTCAAAGTCTGTAAACTCTGCGAAGGTTTGGTTGTTGGGACCGGGATACGCACAGGGGCTCTATGCGAAGCTCAGCTCCGTCTGCTGGACCAGGGTCAGCTCAGCTCCAGCTGTAGTGCGATCGATACCATGTCTTCACCTCATATCCATGAACAAGCCATGGTTCGCTGTTCACCAAACAACATCACGAAGCCGAAAATTCCAACTCACCCAATCTCCAAGCCACACTCCCCGTCTTGCCTCCATCCACATGTAGCACCTGTCCATGCGTAGTACCACTCCACTTCTCGCTCGCAAGGAACAAAATCGTACGAGCAACATCTTCCGCAGGCACAGACTTGGCCATCGGGACCGTAGCCTGACATTCTTCCCACTCCCATTCCTTCCCAAACTTCTGACATTCGTCTTGAAATCGTAGTGTTTCTACGGCACCAGGAGCAACAGCATTGATTCTGGCACCGCGAAAAATCCGTGGCGCGTCTTTGGCGAGAGATTGTAGAAGACCGTATTGCACGGCGGATTTGGCAGCGGCGTAGGCGGCACAACCTCTCACGGCGAACTTCCCGCTTTCGGAACCCATGAGGATGAGGTTGACGTTTCGAAGATGTTTGGGATGAGTGCTGGTGTGTCTACGTATGCCTTGTCGCCAGCGACGGGCTGTGTTAAAGGTTCCATGGATATTGACGTTGAAGACTTTCTGCCAGTCCTGGGACTGTGCATCGCATATGGATTCAGTCTGGGGTAGGACGCTGAGATCGAGTGATGCGAGTGCGACGCAGCATTGAACCTGGCATAAGCATATCAGCAGGGTTCTTGTTGATATAGATCGCAGCCGGTTTGGTCTGCTTACTGGGCCATTTTCCGACTCGATCTTTGCGAAGGCGTCATCAAGTTCCTGCTCCTTGGTGATGTCCGTGGGAATCAAGTGCAGCTCATCTCCGTGACTAGCCATCATGGTTTAAAATGGTTGATTTTCTTTTGAGGTAGGCAAAAGGTCGAGGACGAAAACCTTGCATCTTGCTGCGAGAAATGCATCAACCTAACGGGTGTAGCAAGCCTAGGCCAGCAAGTATTTGTGAATAGCTTGAAGTGACAGTCACTGCATGGAGATGAATCATTCATTCGAATGAGAATTTGAATCTGTGTCTTGAGAAGTCATCATGCCTTGCCACAACTCGACCGATTAGGCCACACCCACCTGTGACCACCACATTGGTTCCTTCGAGGCCAAGGGACAGGTCGAATGTCGACATGATTTCGAAATCTCACAATGCGCTGTGTTTGAGTCCAGTTGTCAGATACCTTCCGTCTCGGCTGTGAAGCTGCCAGTATATGCCTCGATGTCGAGATACTCTGCGGTTCAAAAGCTAGCATGCGCAGGAGGTAGCTACAACCGTAACTAATGCAAGGTTATGTAAGCCAAAACTAGACCTGCCTACGTCGGCCTGTCCATTGGCACTTGCAGGGAGGAACGCATCTCTGTCTCGACCTGCTCTCCTTCTTGCTGCAGCCTTCCGCGCGCGTCTCTAAGCAGTCCTTTGGCTTCCTCCACTTCGACTCCGTCCTGCTGAAGCTCGTTGGCCAACTCCATCACACGAGGCCAGTCGCCACAGCTGAAGCCCCATCTTGCCAGCCAGAGACGTGCTCGACTGGTGACCTGAGTAACGCCGATGCCCTCTTCGCCCTCCTCGGCGCCCTCCTCTTGCGCTAGACAGAGCTCCATGAATGCTGCAGCCTCTTCCCAATTGCTTTCCTTCTCGTATAGAAGAGCAATGTCGTACAGAATGCCGCAATCAAGAGCCCCTCCAACTGCAAGTGCCAATGGGTCTGATCCCGTACTACCGAAGCTCGCACTTGGATCGATCTGGCTCCCGGCGATGAGAGCACGTTTCAGTGCTTGGATGGCGTTCGCGTTCTTGCCGCATCTGCTGTAAGCATGGCCAACTGCGGACCACATCTTTGGGTCGGCGCCATACAGTGCAGCAGCTCGCTGATAGTAGAACAAGCTATAGCTCCAGCATTCGAGCATCTCGTAGCCCTGTCCGAGTCCATACCATGCTCGATAGTCTTTACGATTGATGTCCACAGCACGACGATATGATTCGATAGCCGCCTGGTGATTTTTGAGCTCGATGTATTCGTGACCCATTAACGTCCATGCCGTCTGGAAATTGCGATCCAAGGCCAGAGCACGTCGAAAGTGAAGGACTGCCTTCTCGTGCTCGGCGATTAAACTGTAGTAGTTTCCCAGAATGCAGTTCGTTTCGGGTCGAAATTTGTCCGTGTCACTTGCCATAGCTGCTAGCGTTGCAAGCTTTGGACGATTAGGGAGAATGTATAGAAGATTGCTGTAAATCTCCATACTGTCCAGGCGATGTGGATGACGTCGCAGTAGATGATCGAAAAGCTCGGCTGCGGCATGGTAGTCCTTTGCGTGATAGTGAAGCAAGGCCTTCTGCTGCTGGAGCCAGGGTGAATGCGGGAATATTTCCTGCATCTGGGCCAGCATACGGTAGGTATCATCGTCTTGGACGAAGAGCTCCTGCTTGCAATGGATGGTGAAGAAAAATGACATGATGTTTCGGGGCACATGCTGGTTGAGCTGGTGCAAAATCTCCTCATTTTCCACCAGTGAGGCCAGTTCAAGCCACGCCGACCAGTTGAAAGGATTGATGTTGACGCTTCGAAGCAGCCACTGCTTGGCAAGATCCTCAGACTTGGACTTGATCAAGATGATGCCATACAGATAGTCCAGCCAGCCTTGCGAATTGCCCGTCTCCTCGAGGCCGCCACGAGCAGCAAAGTACTCTTCGAGGATAGCGGCGATGCTGGAGACTTCCTTGTTAGCGGTCGAAGGTCCATCGTGAGGTCCAAGAATTGCTTCGGAGTCCTCGTTCTTGCGCTTCTCGCCCGAGAGATACTTTGCATAGAGACCCAGAAACAAGGACTTCTGGCTCAAGTTCGTGGGCACGGGCGGAGGTTGATGCTTGAGTGACTGTTGCCGTGACGGGACCGACCGTGCTGGGACAGAGTGGGGCTGCTTAGGCGTCGCTTGCAGCTTAGTCGGAGAGGCCGCATGGTATGATGGAGTGCTGTGAGGAAGCTGGCCAGGGAGGAAGACTTCGGCACATCGATCATACTCCCGACAGTCGAAGAAAGACTTGGCCATGAGATAGCGCGGAAGCTCTTTCCGCTCTCGCCGAGCGTCTCGAGCATCACGGTTCGCTGGCTGCGCGTTCTGGACTGAGTGGTCTTCATCGGGCTCTGCATCGGACGTCTCGTCCGACTCCGGGAACCTGGCGAGCGAGTTCAAGAGCTCTGCCGACCATTTCGCCGCGAAGTACAGGCATCGCTCATTGCAGGCTACGACCGCCGCCTGCAGCTGAGCAGCAATTTCAGCGATCTGCTCACTGCGGGCACCGTGTTGAGCCATGGCAGATGTCGTGGACACACGCGTCGCTGGCAATCGCCGTTGGGTTGCGCGGGTGACGTGCAGAAAGCTTGGCGTTCGACCGGAACAATTGTTAGGCGGTCACATCGAATCGTACGTGTTGTATGCCAAATCTCCCACCCGCCATTGGCCCGCGAAAGCCATACCACAGTGTCTGCAGGCCTCCCAGCAGACTGTTCAGAACGTTCTGCAAGCCTACATACAAGAATCGTCGTCACCTGTCAATCGCCCGCGTCGAAACCCCTCGTCCCACCACCAAAATGCCTTTCACTCGCAGCAACTTCGAGACGGTCTTCCCAAAGCTTGTCCAAGACTTGAAAGAGCACTGCAACACATATAAGCTCCCAGATCAAGCTTTGAAATGGTTCGAGCAGGTGAGGCGTACGCTCAATTCACTCCGTCCCAGGCATTGACTGATGCTAGACATGATAGTCCCTCCAACACAACACCCTAGGCGGAAAGTACAATCGCGGCATGTCCGTCGTGGACACCACACAACTCATTCTCAACCGCAAGCTCAACGATGACGAGTTCTTCAAAGCAGCCACTCTTGGCTGGATGATCGAGCTGCTCCAGGCTTTCTTCCTCGTCAGCGACGATATCATGGACAGCAGCAAGACCCGCCGAGGCCAGCCATGTTGGTACCTCATGCCAAATGTCGGCATGATCGCGATCAACGATGCCTTCATGCTCGAGTCGTCAATCTACATCCTGCTCAAGAAGTACTTCCGTCAAGAGAAGAACTATGTCGATCTGATCGAGCTGTTCCACGAAGTCACCTTTCAGACTGAGCTCGGCCAAGAGTGCGATCTTCTTACCGCGCCAGAAGACCACGTCGACCTTGACAACTTCTCGCTGGACAAGTACACCTTCATCGTCATCTACAAGACTGCATACTACAGCTTCTACCTTCCCGTCGCTCTCGCCCTCCATTTCGCCGGCTTCGCAACGCCCAAGAACCTCAAGACCGCAGAAGACATCCTCATTCCAATGGGCGAGTACTTCCAGATCCAAGACGATTATCTCGACAACTTCGCCGACCCGTCAGTATTGGGCAAGATCGGAACAGATATTCAGGATAACAAGTGCAGCTGGTTGATCAACCAAGCCTTGAAAATTGCCAGCCCTGACCAAAGAGAGGTGCTTGAGAAGAACTACGGCCAGAAAGATAGCAAGAAGGAAGCCGCTGTGAAAGAGGTGTTCAATGAATTGGATTTGACATCGGTGTATACCAAGTACGAGGAGAAGAGAGTCGGCGAGCTGAGGGAGAAGATCGACGCGATCGATGAGAGTGAGGGCTTGAAGAAGGAGGTCTTCTCGGAATTCTTGAGAAAGATCTACAAGCGGAGCAAGTAGAGCCTGCTGAAGCCAGATGGAGCTGGGTGATAGGGACAAAGTGGTCATGTGAATAGCGCAATGTATCTGCGCATGCTGGTACAAGGACTGAGATCCCTTATGCTGTGCTCGGGGTGTTGTAATGACGTGCTGCATAGTTGAAGCAACCGACGGACGACTGACTGATGCCAAGACTTCGCCGAGGCCGAGCTCCTCCTCTCTAGTTCCCACTTTCCACCTTTGCTCTGTGCTTCTCTTTGGACCAGAACCGCACGTAGCCACCTTGTCACCTTTGCTCAGGGCATTTGGCGACTAAGGGTGGCGATGGCTTGTCGGAGCCCAATGTCCTCCGTCGTTGATATATGCCTGCTGTTAGATGGCTGCAGATCCGGCCAGTGCTACGCGACTCGGCGATCATGATTTCAGCAGTGTCGCAAGGACTCGCGATGAGGGAGGCGCGTTGTGCATGAAATCATGCCTTATGAACGGCTTTCGACCAATTTCGGAGGGAGAAATCGGAACCAGTGCGTCAACAGTTCCCGCCCGACGGGAGGCTTCCGAAAGACTGTATACGCCATTACGCGACTGGCAGATTCGACTCCTGAGACTGCGGCCAGGTCACTATAACAGTCCTCTGATTGCCGATCTTCAAGTTGCAGACCTACTCCACGGTGAAGGAGTACTGCTTCACGCCAGTCAAGAAAGGGTGTTCTACGACGCCTTGTCACATTGCTGGGGCCCCCAAGACTTTCTCTGTCCGCTTTTGCTGAGAGATGGTATATTTCCCATCACTAGGAGTGTTCACGACGCTTTACAAAGAATTCGATACAGGAATCGCGACCGGTATCTGTGGGTGGACGCAGTCTGCATCAACCAGGAAGATGACGCCGAGAAGTCGCAGCAAGTCTCGAAAATGCTTACCATCTTCAAGAAGGCTTTACATGTAGTAATCTGGCTCGGCGAACTCGGTGCGAACACCAAATTGGTTGAAGCGTATCTCTTACGCTCTGTCAGATCCTCTGATACAAACAAGGACGTGCAAGCAAGCTCTGAAACGGCGAAAGGTCTGACGTCTGGTCATGGCATGCTATGTGACCAACATGCCTCAAACGTGATCGACGGTATCAGGGACCTTCTACACCGATCCTGGTACGACCGAGCCTGGATCAAACAGGAAATATGGGCAGCACGAGAGCCAACCATGATTTGTGGCAATTTTCATCTCCCCAAGGACCTTTTGGCTACTGGGTCAAGCTCGAAGCTAGAAACACTTACCTTACGAGCACCCAGCATGTACAGGCCACGTTTAAAACAGATCTACACGCGGATGAAGTATCTCCAGACAAGCCTTGTGAGTGCGTCGCCACAACTTCTGCTTAGGGCCGAGCAGAGTGACATTCGCAATCCACTCCTGCAGAATGAGGAGAAATTCGCATTGGATCTCATCAATGTGTTGCGCCGATCGGTCGGTAGCAAGTGTACCGACCAGCGAGACTATATCTATGCATTTATTGGCATGCGCCGAAGGCGAGCATGTCATCCGGCTACCCAGACCACCCTCTGCGCATTGATTACTCGCGATCTGCTTGCGAGGTGTTTCGAGATGTTGCGCTCTACCTCATCATGCGGGAGAGGGATCTTTCGGTGCTGTACTTAGATGCCACTTACGCAGCGGATGTGGACGGTACAAGGTTGCCATCCTGGGTACCAGATTGGAGAAAGTCTACCCAACCTATGATGATCATCCTTACACACCTGGATGCGATGTACCGGCGGGCGAAGCTCACACTCGAGGCACTGCTCAACAACGCCCGTCGCGACACTTCATTCGCTCCAATATCGCCCTCGAATCCACTTGCCCTGAGACTACGTGGCCGGCTGTTAGCCACGTTGAGAAGCTGTGATGACTGCGTTCAAAGGCACGGGTACGAGCTCACTCAGCGGTATTCTATCAACAACCCTGAACCAGATCACTTCCAGCAGCCTGTTCGTGGTAGGGCTCGTCAACACACAATCGCCAGGTACACAGTCACGGTCGGCAAAGCTCAGATAGCTTTTAGCAATGCCTGTCCATGCGAGACTAACGGATCCATGGTCGACGATTGGTCGATCCTGTTCCAATGCGAGTGGGACACACCTGCTATTGCACGTAAAGGCGACATGATCACAACCCTAGAGGGAGGCTACACTCCTCTCTTGCTCAGACCAGCATCTTCGTCCGATTACTACCTTCTGGGGCCAGCATTTTGTACTCATGTCCGATTGGCACCGAGACCGCTGTCTAGTTCCCGACCATCGCTGCTTGGCGTGCTGAACGACCCTACTGGTGACCCTGGAAGGCTCTCTTTCCCACGGATCGTACATGACATCCAAGCTTACTTTGTTGGCCATGATGGCACTTGGCGGGGCGCTGGAGATGATCAACAATCCTTCGATATCGTTTGATATCCTTCGGTTAGAATAAAGACCTTACTCAATTCCACTTGAGAATGGGGTTGATCGTCTGTTTATGTTAGCTAAGCGGCTTGCTTCCCGACACATGAAGGTGCTCACCAAGGCACGATATTCTGTGCCTTTCTTCATTCAAGCTGATCGCACAAAGCTTGTGAAGTGCGCCGAAGGGGTCGAAGGAGATGGTGCTAAGTGTCCACCTATCTCACAGGCAGAGTTATCGCACAAGCGAAATGCTGGCGTCAAAGTATACATGTATTAGAAGATCGATATGCAACCTTTAGCGATAGTGGCCCTCGTCTAGCTTTGAGCTCTATAGCGACAAGTGCGTCTCGTGCTTCTGCAGAGTTTTGTATAACTATCGTTGTCATCACGTTCGCGCCTATAGTATAGTCCAAAAGATCGTGATGGTTGTCAGTGGAGCACGTTCTCTTTAAAATGATCTTTTCGTGTGGATGGCAGCCCGGAAGATGTTGCCCATGTTGTGGACTTCGGACAAGCCAAGAGCTGGTCTGTGCTCTGGCCAATCACGGCAGGCACAGAGAAGCTTCCATGGCAGCGACGGCGACCCAGATCGTGAGGGAAACACCAGCATACACATCACAAAATGCTGCAGCGAAGCACGCGCAGGTTCTTGCCTGCTGTCACAAGAAGAAATGTAGCTGGCTTCTATAACTACAGTACGCATGCGCCGCCGGCGACGACCACAGACAATACGGTCCCCGCGAACGACCCGAATCCCAAGGAGAGGCGATCGCCCGTCTCGAGCACCAATGCCTTGCCGACCGTAGCTCCAGGCCAGGACGAAGCTCTCGTAGAGCAGCCAGAGGCCGCCGAGGCCAAGCGTGTCATGCAGGCACCCAACAGAGCAACCATATGGAGCAGGAGTCAGCAGCCGAGAGCGCGGGCAATGGTTGGGCCTCGGTTTGAGCAGACTATCATGGAGGATCAGGTATGATGCATTGGAAGAGGATATGTGCTGCACAGGAATGGACAATGGCTGACGGAGCAACTTCCAGCCACGACCTTTAGCCGCCATTGAACTCATTCACCAGCAACCAGTGCAATGGACGAAAGAGCGCGTGGTGTCGTGTGATGGAGGCGGAGGACCTCTGGGACATCCAAGAATCTTTATCAACGTGGACAAGCCCCAGATTTGCGTGTGCACATACTGTGGTCTGCCATTTGTAAGTCTAGGCTGGCTTGTGGTGAAAGCCGGATGCACTGACGACACTGTTAGGCTCACGAACACCATCGCAAGCATTTACAGAGTTTGCCATCGACCTCATATCCATTGGAACCTACCAATGATGCTGCACAAATCCCGGCTGCTGACTTGGACGCTGGAGAGGCTAGGACTGGTGCTACTGCGCAGTATCAGACGGCGACTGGGCGGCCATATGAACAGCGATAGAGGTAGATATCCAGTACCAGGTGATGTACATGTATGCAATGCGTTTGACGGTTACCAATTCCCCAATTCCCGGGCACCGCCCACATGACGTTGATTTTCTTCACGATAGAGTCAGCAGCAAACTACATGGCCCAAATTCGAATGGGTGGGGCTATGTGGCGATCTTGCGCCGCGACCTTGAGCAAATCGTCTGAATGCAGCAGTGGATATTGCGATGTCTTGCGTCAGACGTCATGGACATGGTCGCCGATACGCCGATGTGACGGAACAAATTAGCGGACAAGCCGGACTGACAGCAAGTGAGAGAGGCAAAAGAGTGTGAAGGCTGAGTGCATTCACGTGTATTATGTCTCATGACATTGGCAGGTCCTCATGGGCGCTTCGTGCACTCTCGCAAGAAATATCACGCATATTGGAACAGCAGAAACGCAGAGGATCAGCACTCTGCATTATACTTCAATCTTCGAGTTTTTTTTTAAAAAAGATTTTGTGATGCCCGAAAGACGACGAGCAATGGGCAGAGGAAATGATGAGCAGCACTTTCACACTATTAATATTACTGCAAATGCCATGCCTAGATACACTTCTGCCACTCGGTGCTGAGCAATCGCTGCTTGATGTGCACAAGTCATGAGAGGAGAGACATGGCCGGGCAGGAGATGAGCACATGCTGGCAAGGCGTAGTCCGCACAGCGCGCTGCATGTGGAATAAGCGGTGGACAGCAATTTGTAGATAGGATACGTGCAGATGTCGTTGCTTGACAGCTGGAGTCTGCTTCCCGCTGAGCCCTGCAGAGCTAGCCGACCAGGATGGTGACGCCGCTGCCAAACTCAATCTCTACAACGAACGACAACCGAATCGTCACAACCGCCGTGCTTCGCGTGTCGGCCATTCGCCTTCACGCGTCCTCCCGCCGAGCACCTCCGCCCTACGCTCTTGTGCCGTCCTACAGCGCACACTGTGCCCGTCTGATGGGCGGAGCGATCTCGACCACCGAAATCTCCACTCCACGCTGGCGACGTCGATGCAGGCACGACAGGGAGGCGACCACTGGCAGGGAACGGTAACGAGCTCTGGGACCAGGGCGCATGTTGCACAGCAGAGGTATATGCAATTGCAGGACGCCACTGTTCCACCACGCCGCTCGCTGCAGTGCTGTATGAGATGAGACTCTGACCTTCCCTGACCGGTCACTGTCACTGTCACTCCTTTCCGCCCACACACTCAACGCATCATCGGCCCGCCCATCCCACGAAACGGCAGCGTGGAACACACCCGACCAACTTACGCTACCGCTCATCAGCGGCATCACCAGCATGTGCAACCCGATGATCAACCAGGGCCGCTGCTCGGTCAAACCGCAAAACGAACGTCCAGCATGCACTGCACACACCCGCGCACGACTGCACTCCGCCCTGCCGTGTCCTTGAAATCGTTCGTGAACCTCGCCGAGCGGCGTTTGCCCGCCTCAGGCCTGCGCACCTGCAAGCTCGAACAAACAAAACCTCGCCCTGACCACATGATGGAGTGAACGTGGCAAGCAATCATTGACCTCTCCGAGTGCACACCGTCACTTCTACACCCCTCACCCCCGTTCCACATGCCACAACCTCGCCACTCCTTCAGATCAGATATTGAGATGCTCGTCATGCCCGACACCGACACTAACGCTCGCTCATCAGGTAGCGAGATGCAGCTGGGAGACCTCGAAAAGCAGCCCGACGTCGGCCCCATCTTCACCAACGACGACGTAGAAAGCCTGGCATGGCAAGACCTGACGGTGACGGTCGAGGATCGCTCGACCCGTCGCGACCGCAACATTCTGCATTTCTCTTCGGGCATCGTTAGACCCGGCGAAATGGTTGCGCTGATGGGTCCATCTGGATCTGGCAAGACCACGCTGCTCAACACACTTGCACAGCGCCAGACGGCCACTGTCACGGGGAAAGTATTGGTCACTGGCGAGGAGGCCTCACTTGCCACGCACCGGGCGATCGCATCTTTCGTGGAGCAGGAAGACACACTGATCGGCTCACTGACCGTCGAGGAGACCCTGAAGTTTGCTGCCAGACTATCTCTGCCCGGGTAAGGCATCTTGTCAGACTTTGTAACCTAGCACAGCTGACCATAGCAAAGGTCCGTCACGAAAGCAGAAGCGCGAGATCGCGTCTCGAAACTGATAAACTCCTTTGGCTTGAGCGGCCAGCGACACACTCTTATCGGCACTCCTCTGCAAAAAGGAATCTCTGGAGGTCAGAAGCGGCGAGTGAGCGTGGCGACACAGCTGATCACAGGTCCACGCGTCTTGTACCTCGATGAACCAACAAGCGGATTGGATTCGACGGCGAGCTTTGAAGTTATCTCCTTCATCCGCAACATTGCTCGGCAAAACCGGGTGCGTTCTCATCATCAGTCACTTTCCCAACGTTCCTTGCTAATGAAAAGCAGTTGATTGTCATTGCGAGCATACACCAGCCATCAACCAAGACCTTCGACCTCTTCTCGAAAGTCACACTACTCTCGCAAGGCAAGACCTGCTATGCCGGCCCTGTACCGGAGATGTCCGACTTCTTCGCTGAGATTGGTATGCCTATTCCAGGCAACATCAATCCAGCCGAACATGTTCTCGATCTGGTCAATGCCGACTTCTCTGTCGATTCCGCCCATACACCTCTCGAGACTGTCTTTCAAGGATGGCAAGACTCTCCGCGTGCGCGACAGCTTCACGAAGAACTGAAAGGTCTCAAGTCGAATCGTCGCCTTCAGATCAAAGGTACTGGGAAGAAGCCATCGTTCTTCGCGCAAGTTGTGGTTCTTCTTCACCGTGCATTCATCAAGAGCTTCCGAGATATTGTCGCTTACTGGATTCGTCTCGCCATGTACATGGGCTTGGCCGTCATGATGGGCACAGTCTGGCTGCGTCTGAGCTCGGAGCAGAAGAACATTCAGCCAATCGTGAACGCTATCGTAAGTGCGGAGTCCGATTTTTTGCGGGCGAGTGCACTGTTGACACGCTCTAGTTCTTCGGCTCGGCGTTCATGTCTTTCATGGCAGTTGCCTACGTTCCAGCCTTCCTCGAAGATCGAGCTTCGTTCGTCAAAGAGCGAGCAAATGGCTTGTATGGTCCTGCTGCATTCCTCCTGTCGAACTTCATCATCGGCCTACCCTACCTCTTCCTGATATCTGTGCTGTTCTCGGTGGTATCCTACTGGCTTATCAACCTGCGCCCAGATGCCGCGGCATTCTTCACGTGGATCATGTGGCTCTTTCTCGACCTCTTGGCCGCGGAATCACTTGTGGTCTTCATGTCGTCTCTGTTCCCAAACTTCGTGGTAGCACTGGCATTGATTGCATTCGCGAACGGGTACGTGGAATAAGCATCATTCTGCGAGACTATGCTAATGATTGCGCAGTCTCTGGATGAGCGTTGGAGGTTTCCTTGTCTCAATGCCGGTCCTCAACGGGTTCTGGAAGTACGTGTTCCACTACATCGACTATCAAGCCTACGTCTTCCAGGGCATGATGGTCAACGAGTTCAAGGCCAGAGACTTCTCCTGCGCACGTGTCGGCGACAGCTGTCACTGCATGTATTCAAGCGAACTGCAAAGTCAATGCAAGATCGCTGGGCCGGCAGTTCTGCAAGATTATGGCTATGCATTGGGTAGAGAGGGCAAGTGGGCTGGCATCATGATCGCCATCATCATCGTCTACCGCTTGTTGGGTTGGCTCGTGACCTGGCTGCGCAAGTCTTGATGGTCTGACTGCGATGGTCGAGGCTATTGGCGTCAGATGCACACCTTACGAAGAGAGGCTTTGTTTAGTTTGGGGATTAGACTGGTTTGTATATTCTTTGGCCAGCTGCCATGATACCCAGTGACCTATAGATCGAGCAGCTGAATAATTTGTAGATGATCTAGCAAGATCTCACGATTGAAGGTCAGTCATCCTTGGAATAATTTGTTCCAGGCATTAATAGACCCTGCCTGTTGAGTTCAGGCACCAAATGCAGGTACAATCTTCGGGAGGAGCCTTATATACTGTTTGAGCCGCAGATCTTGAGACACCGAGTCGCCGATCAGCTCAGGATCCTACTGATCCTATTCACAGTATTCTCATCTTCTGCTTTCACACTTTGCTCCCCGGCGACCTGTCCGTCATCCAATTTGCAATTCCTGTTCTCCCAATCCATGGGACTTCTTAGCGTTGACCCGTCGAACGTTACACAGTTGTCGGATGATCACATGCATGACCTGATAGTCTTGGCGAGAACGAGAGAAGCCCGAACTACATATGCCATGCGAGAACTCGTCCGAACTGAGCGGCTACGCTAGCGACTTCACTCGCATTACTACAACTGGAACCTTGCGATTTCAGAAAGATCAAAAGTCTTCAGGAATAACAGTAGCTCAACCGTCTGAGGAAACATCACGTCACTGAGAGAGTACTGAACTTGCCTTCAAAAGGACCTACTCATCGAGAAATCAATCTTCTCCCTCGCTACAGGCCAGACAAGTATGTCTTACAGCACGGAAGACAACAACGAGTATAACTCAGATGCCCCGCAAGAAGGGGGTTCTGCTGGACCCCGCAACAACAAAGGCAAAGGACGAGCAACAATCGACTACGACAATGAACAACTTGACCGGCGAGTCCACTGGGATCCAGCCGTGCCGGAGGAAAACGCCAGCTCAGGCCCCAAGAGACAGCTCCATAAACGAAACAAGCAGAACATGTCTCACGGCGAGACAAGCCTCCGGCACAGCAAGAGCGTCACCTCCCGTTCCAGTACAACTCATGCACCCCCCGATCATGATCATGATCATGCCTCGCAATCTTCTAAATCAAAACTTGCTGCAGGGCAATCGCAGACCGGCAAACAGCAAGGTCGAAGAGACGAGATTGCTCGAGTTCCCGGCAATCAAGGTAGAGGAGAAATCAGACTTGATAATTTTCCTGCTCTTGTTCTTTTGAAGGATAATCGGGAGGCTTATGATGAGTGGATGGCGATGGCGAGAGAGGCTAGTTCGGAGAGGTGATGAGATTGTTGCGGCGCCTCTGAAATTTTCTTTTTTTTGCTTCGGACTTTAATAAAGGAAGTTTTGAGACATGCGGCATATGAGGTGAAGGCCTGCAGACTACGTGCCACTTCCGAGAGGTGATGAGACTGTCGGGCCTCCGAAATCTTTGTTCTAGACATCAGAGAAAGCCTTGAGACATGCTCCCCATGAGTAAACGTCCTGCAGACGACAGGTAATATATTCTTCCTTTCCCTCCGCCTACATCCGCTGTTCTGAAGCACACTTTTCTGACTTTTTCTTAGGTTATACTCAACACTCATGCAATGTATACAATCATACACAAACGCCCAGCACTACTCTACTCGGCAGCTTCGGAAAAATCTTAACGACAGACAAAGCCCTGTTCTGTCGACAATCCTTTGTTGCTATCCCTCAACTCATACAATGTATACAATCATCCCCAAACGCCCAGCACCACTCTGCTCAGCAGCTTCGGAAGAGCTTTGACGACAAAGCCCTGTCCTGTCGACAACCCTTTGTTGTTATCCCGCAGCTTGTGAAGGGCATGGCTGGAGTCGAAACAATGGCATTCATCCTCGACGTGAATGGCTTCTCTGGTGAAGGTCGCCAGGTCGTGAATGGATTTTGCAATGGTGACGGTCGAGGCTGGAGGGTTTAAAAGGCTCTTGATTCCTCGGTTGGATTCTTTTCTTCAGCAAGTTCCAGACAGCGATACCACACTCTACTTTTCTGGCATACTGGAAAAGTGCACACAAGCATTCGCTACATCGATCTCGCTTTACCAAAGCACCAACTCCTTTCCCTTCGATCCAAGAGGATCTACCTATCTCGAGATGGCATCAGCACCATCCTCTTCCCCGAACTCCTCCTCAGGCTCGACCGCAGCCACTTCGACCGCCGATCAGGCTACCGCTCCGGCTACACTCACAGACCAGTCCCACCCAGCACCAGTATTTAAGCAAAGCGCGCCGCGGAACCCTCCATTCTGCATCGCCACCCAGATCAAACCGCATTGGAATCTCCTTGTCGATCCCCATGAGCCTTTGGCCATGGACATCGAATTCCAAGACTGGAAGAAAGATGGTAGACGGTCGAATCGACTAGGCCGAGTAGCTGTCACCAACACTCTCGGTCAAGTCATCCTTGACACCTTCGTCTACTACAAGAACGAGAAACACCTCGGCATAGAAAAAGTCCTTCCCGCCGAGTGGCGAGGTTTTGGCGTAACCCACGAGGACTTGAAGAAAGACAACGATGCCCAGCCTGCGGAGAGGGTCGAGGGCTGGCTCGTCCGCATACTCACCGGCCGCCCTGTCGTCCTACATGGTGGTTCAAACGACAAGAAGGCCTTCTACATTCATGAGGACTTCCTATTCAACCACCCGCAAGTCGTCGATACCCAGGTCTTGTATTCGTACGAGGTTGACAACAATCGTCAGCCTGGTCTCAGGGCTTGCGCGCAGGATGTGCTTGGGAAGACGATTCAAGTAGATAACCACAGTCCGGTCGAAGATGCCCAAACCACCATGGAGCTGTATCTGCTGAAGCAGCCATACCAAAGGCCAGCAATGCAGACTGCCCAGCGAGGCGGTCGAGGCGGCTCTCGTGGTCGCGGCGGTCGTGGTCGTGGGGGCCGTGGAGGTTGGTCTCGAGGACGCGGCAACGCTGGCAAGTGAGGAGTCTTACACAAGACATATAACCTCACCTGGCACCGCTCCTACCGAGCATACCGCCTCTGGCGTCTGGATTTGATTGGACCTGAGCTTCTGAAGGCACTCGCGAGCATGATTGGGCGTGGCGGATTACAGAATGGCATATTGCATGCAGGCATGCAGATAGACATAGAATGGCGAACACATTTCGGCATCTTGAAATCTTTTTATTCCCTAATTGTTAATTACATAACCTCACCTAGCACAACTCCCGCCCAGCATACCGACTTTGGCGCTTGACATTGATTGGACCTGGTTTTTCTGAAGGCACACGCGAGGCGGGGCGGACAGAATAGCGCATTGCATGCAGGCATGCATATAGACATAGAATGGTGAACACACTTTGGCATCTCGAACTCTTTTTCATTCTCGACCTGTTAATTTCTATACCGCCGATCGATTCGGAATCACTATTATCCTCCCCTTGTTTTCTCTCTCTTCACCCAAGTAGAACGAGTGAGATCTCATTCAAGCTCGCACAACTCACGCAAGTGCATCACATACGAGAAACAGGACCATAGTGTTTCTTTCCATGTGACAGCAGCAGCATAGTCGCAGTGAATCGAAGAGTGTAAATTCGATGGCGTGTCTACGGAAGAAGCGAGAGTGCACGGACCATGGTTCTTTTAAGTCACGTAGGTGAATACAATGTCGCTCATATCAAACAAGGGTATCATTGAATGCAGGCATTCAGTCAGCAACAGGAATCTTGCCCTTCCAATGGTCGTTCACAGTTAATCTCCAGTAACATCCTTTGGATCCTTGCATGTTCAATCCTTCACCTCATCTGGCCTTCTTCTCTCCCTTGAACGACCGACCCGGCCCCTCGTCATAGACAGCAAACCCACTTCCGCGCCTCTGCAACAAGATCATACCCATACCGCAGCTGATCGATCTTCCGTGTAGCGTCTGCGTCCTCAACCGGCGAATGCTCGCCACCACTCTGAATGGCCTCCCCAAGCAGCTTATCCACCAAGAACGCAAGACCCGGCTGGCGAGCACCGCTAGAACCAGCCCACGAGTCGCTCTGGAGAGCAAACTTGTTCTTGAAGTGGTGACCTTCGTCGCCGATGACGATGGATGGCTTCGCGGCGCGCGTGTCCTGCAAGAGAGACTGGTTGTCGGACACATACTCGGGTGGGGGCTTGTCGTTCTTCTCCTGCGCCTGGGTGTCGTATTTCTGCTCGGCGGCATCGTCAAGCGCGGCAAAGTCGTCAAGGGACTCTTCTGGTTCATCGACATCTCGGAGTTGGTCGAGGACGATGGTAGTAGTGCCAGTGTCGAATGGCTTCTCATGATGCATAAATTGATGTATATACGATATTGAAAGAGGAATATACTCTGTATGGATGGTTGAGTCTTGATGCCCTACAGTGTGTGCTAAAAAAGCGAGGACCAACTTATCTATGTTGTGAGGCACAAAGCCGACGAAGGATCTCAAATTGCTTGCTAGGTGTGCATTAGTTGTTATTATGAGATTGCATTCATGCATCCATGGCAGCAAGCAAATCGATATATGGCATCAGAAACCTCACCCAGACTTCTCATCAAAGCATTTCATTTAAGCTAGTCCATCGAGGACCATGCTCTGGGTATCTCGGCCTAAAAACGCCAAGAACTATGCTAATCCTGAGTCTACCGTCAGCTAATCCAAAATTCGGATGCAGAGGTGAGATCCAAACCAGTCCTCACGTGTAGGTTTCCAATTACTCAAAGAGACTGCCTTCTAAAGTCGTCGACTCAATGCCTCTGCCTCAGAAGCTACTTCGAGCCAAGAGCAGGGAAGTCGTTCTCCCTCTCCAACTTGGACTGGGTCTCCATCGCTGTCTTCTTTCACTTGCCGTTTCCCTTGCCCTTGCGATGACCACGTCTCTGCGGACCGTGATATCTCTTCTCTTCCTTCTTTTGATCCTCCACCGACTTTCGCTCATACATTGGTACCCACTTCGCAGCCCCACTCACCCGATCGTACGGGAACTTCCTCAAGTACAGAGCCATAGTAGCAGCCGCATCCTCAACAGGTGTATGCCCGCTGACCTGAATGGTTCTTAACAAGTAGTCCTGCGCCGGAACTGCCCAAAAAGTATAAGAGTTATGAGATCGACACGGCGTGACCATCCTGTCCGGCACAGAGATTGTAGTGCTGTGTATACGACTTGGAGAGAGAAGTGTCATCGTCGTGATGGATGTGTGGTGCATAAGTGTGTGTTGTGTCGTGTACTGTAACAGGTGAGAACTGACTTTGTCTTGTTGTTGAGGACCAACGCGAGAAGATTCTTCTTTCATTGTGCTTGCTAGGTTGCATTCGTATTGCTATTTTGTCGCATTCATGCATACACGCATGTTCCATCTGTGTCCAATCCCAAACGGGTATGCGTGTCTCCCATAACGCCTCGCTGGAATGCTAAGTCAAAATTCTTGTAGGCTTTTGTCTATCCAAAGCTTTTCGAGATGAATCGTGAAGTCGTGAGTCGTAGGAGCGAAAGCTCATTCCGGACACCTTTTGAAAGTCTGTTCCCAGATGACAAGCAAGCTGGACACCAAGAAAGCACAAGATCCCCAGAGCGCGCAGATACGGTTTTGTCGTTGCATCCACTCCAGGGTGCCAAATCCAAGAAATGACATGATCAGAAAACCAATGCCGCCAAGTGTTGACCAGATGCCCGCATGCCAGCTCAACTTTCGCCAGAATGGGGTTCTTCGTTCGCTCTGGTGAGATTGAACGAGACCGAGGAAACCCATCCAGATGAAACCGACGCAAGCGAAGACTTTAGGCGACCAGTAAATGCAATTCATGAGGTAGTGCGAAAGTGAGATCCTGTTGTAGATGGCAGGAATGGCACAAATGCCTGCCTCGAGAAAGAGCAGCGAGCACACGAGTTGTATGCAGCAAGACCTGAAGGCAAGGTCATCAGCCCAGTGCTCCTTGATATCGTTCCAGCGCGGTCGCCAGCCCCAGTCTCCAACACGGTAGTTCTTCTTGTGCAGGTTGCGAGCTGCACGGAATTCGTTCCTGATCTGTTGTGCTTTCCATCCATCATAACGTGGTCGACTCTCGTTGAGTGTATGTAGGATAGTGGTCAAGCTGGAGATGAAGAAACAGATGGTGCCCGTACATGATAGAAGGCCAACGCACACTTCGGTCTCGTCGGGAAACCTGGTGCTGGGGAATGCGAATGGAAGGAAACTGAAAAGCGAGCTGAGAATCCAGATGACACTTCCAACGACCGAGGCTAGAGCAGTCCGCCAGTAGAAGCTGTTTAGGGGAAAGACATCGAGTTCATACCAGATCGCTGCGAATTGTCAGTCGTTGTGTTTCTGCAGACTGTGGCCCTTCAACCGATGCACAGAGCTGATGTGGCGCAAAGACGGCGCAACATACCCTCAATGACTCTTCTCGTTCTTGAAATATGTCTCGATTCTTGCAAGTGATCGATCTTGGCTGGCTTTAGAACGAGATCCTCGCTGCAGTAATCTGTCAGCTTCGACCTCCTTCGTACTATGGTGGTGCCCTCACCTCGATGTGGCAGCGCTATTGTATGCACTGTTGTAATGTAGCTTCTTCAGTGAATGCTGATCACTTTCGTTCCACAACGCCTCCGTCACGATCTGGCGCCAGCCGGACAGCGTGATGCCACGTCGTCGCGGAGGCATGGCAGGGTCTATAACTTCTTCATCCTTCTCGTCGTCCATCGGCACTTATAAGCCAAGAGGTTGGAATTAGGCGAGATGAAAGGAGAGTGAAAGTGAAAGTACAATGCTTAAGACTCGGCATAATGACGAGGAGTAGATGAGATGCTCTTTGAGTCATTGTTAGCACAGCCCGAGACGCGCAAGACAAGGCGAGATCAGGTAGCAGCAAGCATTCAATCTCAACGTGAGGCAATTGCAAGAGTAGTTACGCAATCGTCAGAGCCAGTGAGTCGGAGCTGGGAATTTGGTCGGGGTCGGGGCGGTGTATATCGGCAGCCCGGTTGCGTGCATCAGAAGCGGGAGTCGATTGGCAAGTGTGAGTCGAACTCTGATTCAAGCAAAATGCAGTGGATTCCATTACCTGTTTGGGTATCTTCGACCTATTTGCGCTGGATCTGGCAGGTCAGTCGTCTCCGGTGACGTGCTGAGCACGAACGCGTTGTACGCACTGCCCAAAAAGCTGGTAAGACTCGTCAGCTGTACAGACAGCGCTCAGTCATGGTCATCGTCATCGCGGACTGACTCGCGTTGAGACCTTTGTCGCAGCTTGCCCGATGCGTCTCGGGAGTTTTGACAAGCTCACGATGGGCGCTCGTTCGCATGTTCGCAGCTCATCGACGACATTGATTATCCCGCGGGAGCGCACTGGGCAGTCCTCGGTGGATGCTTTGTCGCCGTCCTTGATGAATGCAGTGTTGAGTGGCAGGCTCACGACACACGGTGAGACGTGCGGCGATGACTGTTTTGCTAAGCCCAACTGAGGATGTTTTCTCATGAGCGACGTTCTTACGGTTGATGGGCGCCGGCGTTGAGAAGGTGATGATGTAGGCGAAAAGGAGGTGGAGGGCGGCGAAGAAGTAGAAGGTTTTTAATGAGTTGCGCTGATCTGCAGGCCCGTGCCGCGGAAGTTCTGGCAGACAGGGGGCCAAAACAAAACTCGGGACAACAGCAGACATGGCACTGTGTGTTTGTTTCTTGGAGCGAGGAACGGTAGGAAAAGCACCAGCACTGTGGACTACATTATGAAGCCGTTGTTCCCATACCAAATGCCCAGTGTTTCATGCTGACCTAGATGCTCGTTCTCACTATGTATGCTAGTGGCGTTTCGATCCTCCAACCCTATGCGTATGCGTGGACTCCCTTCATTCATTCCTCGCTGGCGTCCTGTGTGGATATCTGCTCTGAAGCTCGTGAAGCATGGTAGGTTACTTCTAAGCAGCCTGACCACAAGTCAAGTAAACCACGCCAGACTCAACACCAATAAGCCTAGCTCCGTTCGCACCTCCGTACACAGTCGGTCCCACACTGCCTTTCATGTAACAAGCAGCTCCACTGAGGGTGAAGTCAACACAGCTTGGCTCTTGAGCACAAGCAGCAACACATTGCGCCAGACTGTTGACATAGACTGGTTGATTGGGAAGATCGCCGCCTGCGTGGTCCATTCCGCATTCCACCACGAAAGATTTGCCGTTCGAGATGACAGTGGTCTGGTTCATGTCTGGACAGGTGATGGAAGATGATTGTCGCTCCATGATGGGAAAGGAGTTGAAAGGGCTGGCCGTGGCGAGACCAAGGATGGTGGCTGCGAGAAGAAGCATCTTGGACATTGTGTGAGAAGTTGTTGACGGTGTGAGGAGCTGTTGATGACTGTGTATTGCGACTGAAGCCCTTGGTTGATCGGGTTGCTACTGTGTGATGATCTGATGTTACGAGAAATTAGCTGTTCTTTATAATGCCTCCCTCTGGTGGATTTGGAATCTAATAGCATCCTCTTCCCAAAGGCTTCAGCCTCGTTGAGACGAAAGCATTGCAAGCTATGTGTTCGAGGCCTACCCAGAGCAGCCACGCGGGCCTCACGTGTAAGTGCATGCTGCCGCTTGCCAAAGCCACCATATTGAATATGCAAGGCATGTGGAGTGGGAGTCCCGCATTGGTTTGTGTAAGCGAAAGGGCACAGCTTCTCCAAGGCTGGGTGGCTGGTACGGGGAGCTGGTCTCGCCAACCCGTTGGCTGTGGCCTTTACCTTCGATATGTGATGGAGGGCTGCGAGTTCAGCAGCCATTACTAGCAAACGTTGAACGAACGTAAAGGCTTTGCGAGAGATATTGCCTTCGGAGATGGCGTCCAGAGCCGAGATGGACTACCTGGGGGCCGAAAGGGAGATCTGCAGGCCCGCCCCGGCCAACCAAGTCCGAGCTAAAGTTTCGCGACACCGAAACACAGAATTGCCCTTACGATCCGCGGGACCAGGCAAAGACTGTTGGAGTCATGGAGCAAATTTCTGAGGCCCCAAAGCTGGACGACTTCACGGCGCTCAGCGAGCACCAACAGCAGACGCCAGGATCTTTCTTTGGCGGAAAGCCAGTGCTGCACCTCCACGCGCCAGCCGCAACGATCAAAGTGCCTGTAGAGCAATATGAAGCGCAAGCAGACCTCAAGCATCTCGTAGGCAGCACCGCGCCGGTGCCATCTGATGGCAGTCTCAATATACAAGGCGTCGATGTGTGGGTGACTTCAAGACATCTCCTTCTCTACAGTCCACCGGCCTCTTCAGGACTTCAAATTTCCTACCCGGCAATCACAATCACCGCCCAAGACGGCGCAGACGTGCTGCTCGAGCTCAATCTCTCAGACGCAGACACGGCCGACGAAGACATTCAATACATCCAACTACGAATCTTCGCGACGAGAATCGAACACCATGCGACCACTACTGCAGAGACGGAAACACAATCAGGCGCGAATGGGACCACGAGTGACAACGATACTGCAACCGCGCTGTGGAAGGCAATATCAGAATGTCAAGAGCTGAACCCGGATTCTGTCGCGAATGGCGAAGAAGGTGAAGATGGAGGGATGGAGTTCGATGAGACAGCACCAGGAGCCACGGGCTGGATTACCAGCGAGAACATGGCAGACTTCATGGACGAGAACGGCAATTTCCGTATGCCTGCCGGCATGACTGTCATTGGTGGTGAAGAGGAGCAGCGAGAGCCTCTCGGGGAAGGCGCAGGTCGATCGAGAACAGCCGCTGAGCTTGATGCTGAAGAAGGTGCTGATGGGGATGATGCGAAGTGGCAGCGCACTGGATGAACACGCACTGATGTCTCGGCGCATCTCCTTTCCAGCATTCGAACTGTTGGTGGATTTCTCACGCGATATCAGCGCTGCTTGTCACACATCCACGCCCGCCGCTTCGCTCAAATAAGCCCCGCAACCAGCTGCCGGTCCGGCGAGAACAGGCCAGTGAGTGATCTCATCGACGAGACACTTCTTCGATGAAGATTCGGCGCGGGCTATCCGAAAGAGCGTACAGCAGAGAAGGAGAAAGACATGCCAAGAAGTTTGTGAATCTCACAAAAGAACATGAGTGCGTACTTGGGTAGAATCTATCTAAGGACATGATATGATCCCCAGTAACCATCCACCTCTTTCAAAAATTATGCATTAAGCATTACGCCTTCAAAAATCCATCGGCATCGTACAAACTCTTCGGCGTAGCAGCCACACTCGCACTACTCCTCACCCCAGCCGGCGTCATCAAAAGCCTCGGATCAATACTCGTCGTACAAATCTGCTCCTTCTGCTGCTTCGTCGGCGTAGCATGCGTATAAGCCGGAAACAAAATCCCACTCGTCCGAGGCCCGGACGTCTCCTCCCAATACTTCTCCCCATCATCCCAAACACTACTCCTCCTCTCCGGCCTAAGATTCTCCTGTTGTTGTTGGTGCTGCCACTCCGCATCAAACCCTTTCAACGCACCCTCGACATTTTTCTCAAAAATTTCCATATCCATGTCATCCATTGCAGAGCCAGAAACACCACCACCACCAACACCCTTGCCAGGCGTCGTCTCGGCACTTGTTGAAGACTCGAATTCGAATTCGAAAAGCGAGTTCCGACTCTCCTCCCTCTCGGCTCCGGCCCCGGAGGATCCAATGTATGGGAGCAGCGGAGAAGCTTCCCTCCCCAAACGGACGTAAGTTCTACTAGCCCTGCTTCGATGGCAGTTGACTTCGGAATTCATTCTTCGCAACGCCATTGCGTTTTTCAAAGTGCTTTGTGCGGGTTCTGGGCGTGGACCCATGGGGCTGGGACTGCAAGTCGTTCTTGGTGGGAGTGGAGGGGGGCTTGATGAGCTTTGAGGAATGGTCGAGAGGCTTGGTGCTCGAGCGACTCTCATATCCGGGGCACGTGGTGTAACATCCTCCTCCTCCACCTCCTCCCCTTCTTGTTGCTGTTGTGGTTCCCATCGTGGAAGATCCTGATCTTCATCATACTGCGACGTAGGAGCCAAAATCGGTACTGCACCCGGGAATCCAAGCTGCGGAGCAGTTTTCGACCGCGCCATAATCGTCGAAGCATTTTCCGAGGTGAGTTTAGAAAACTCTCTGCGTTCTGCTCTTCGAGGATTTTTCGCCGGGATTGTTGGCGATTCCGGAAGGGTTTTTGGTGAGCAAGGCGGAGAATCTTCGTCTTCCATGATGACGGAGTCGCGGGAGCTGTAGGAAATTGGACGCGCGAAGGGGAGGAAGAGACTGCTTCGGATGTCGTCGTCGTTGTTGTTGTTGTTGTTGTTGTTGTCTGGAGGGGAAGCAGGGTCGTGTTCACTGCTTGCTGTTGGGATGAAGCTGATCATGGGCCAAGCGGGATCGTATTCTTCGGTTTTGGATATTGGTAGAGGTGGGCTGGAGGGGATTTCGACGGGCATTGCCTCTTCGCTGGACATGTCGAGAGCGAAAGGAGATGAGCTGTGGCTTTCTTCGCCTTCGTCTGAGCTTGGACATGCAGGGGCGAATTCTGGCATTGGTGCTGTGTCGATTGCCACGGGCGAGATGGTGGCTTGTGATTTGCGTGCTGCTGGCGATGGGAATTTGGGAATCGAGAATGATCTGTCCGATTGTCGAGATACTGGGCGGCTTGCGGTCAAGGTCAGAGTGGTCATGTTGGAGTCGGAGGGTTGACTTGGTAGACCAGAAGTCTCACGGTACGCATTCCAGGTCGACAAAGTCGGCGAGCTAGGCGTGAGTGAGGCACGAAGCGTTTGGATACGAAGATTGTCAGTCGAAGCCGAAGCGCTGGGTGGCTTTGCGCCTCGGGCGAGATACATCGAGCTCTGTCTTTGGCTTGGCTGTCGAACAATCTCATCGCTCTCGCGCTCCTCTTTGATTTCATGCATGAGACCAGAAGGACTTGTTGATCTGCTTCGGTCCGGGCCAAGTACTTCAGGCGTCAGTGTGCTGATTCGCACACAGCTCTTCTGCCTCTTGTGGTTCTTGCGGGCATTTGGACTGCCTTTGAGAGCGCTCGGCTTGGGCAGCACATTTGACGACTGTGTGTCCCATTGAAACGGGTTACCGTTGCTGCTCCTGCCGGAGTTGATGGTCGATTGGGATGCCTCTCTGGTCGGAGTGTCCTTGCGGAGCACCGCATTACCAGAGATATCACGAAGTGCACTTGCTCGTCTGCGCTCCGCTGGTGATCCGTACGCAGATACCGAGCTTTGCCTTCGAGCTCGCTTGGTTGGTGTGCTGATCTTTTGGATGCCACCTGTTGAGCAGAGAGAGTTCGAGGAAGATACTCTGCTCAGGCTAACACGCTCGGCGGAACAAATTTGTGGTACTGACAATCGATTGCCGCCACTTCCGCAGGAGCTGATGGTGCTGGACGATGTCTGGCGATTATGAGTCAAGGCACTATCGGTGCTTGAACGCACAATTCGACCACGAACAGATGATCGCGCCCTGGAATGCCCTCCAGCCTTCATATTCGAAGTCGCTCTCGTCACAGTGACTGATGGTTCTTGCCACTGGTGCTTGGTGACAGTCTTCATCGCTCCATCGTTGTCGTCCACGATCTCCTCAACCGTGGGCGAGACAACAGCATCATCCGTATTGTTGCGTTCCAGAATTGGACTGACGACCAAGACAGAGCTACCAGTCGAGCCGTTGCTAGAAGAAGAAGACATGCGCGATATGCACACTCCCTTTCGAGCTTCATCGAAATCAGTCTCCAATGGCGAAATCACTGGAAGCGGAGGAACAGGACCTGATGGAGGTCTGCTTGCAGGACCTCCCAAACTGACTGAACGAATGTGTAGGGGAGGCCCGCGGCGCTTTTTGCTCATATTTGGCATGGGCTCAGGACTTCCAAATACCGCACCATCCGAGACATAGTCAGTGAGCACACCAGTCGAGACGGACCTCGGTGGTTTGTTCGCAATGGCAGCACCGTAAGAGCCAGGCGATCGGATCGCAAAGGATGGCATAACGGCTGGCTTGGGACTATCGGGGGCGCTCAAGACTTGCTCTCTGTGCGCCGGATGGACGTCCGTAATCGTACAGCTAAGCGGGACCTTCGGACTGATTTCAACAGCCTTCGCCGTTGGCATCGGTTCTGGTGGAGCTCTCGGACTTTCGATGATGGCTGACAGTTGCTTGAACGACTTCAAAGGGATGCCACGCGACTTGACACGCTTTGGAAGAGAAGCTCTGTTCCTCTTCCTCTTGCCATTTTGGGCGACTGCCTGTGGTTCATTGATGGTGTCATTAGACCCGAGAGCATCCCAGCCGCCTTGCGTGTTCAACGGCATGAAACGGTTTACAGAACAGCCACTGACGGGGCGTGGCACTTCAGACATGTCCTGACGAATAGCTCCTGGCACTGCATGACCCTCTTCAATTGCGGCTAGAGCTTTTCGGTGAGCTCTTCGTGCCCGAACTATGCGAGCCGTGATGAATATGCAAGCCAGAGCGATCAAAGCGCCTATACTGGCACCGATCACTATAGCGGTCGTATTTGGCGCCGCAGCACTAGCTGTTTCTGCGCTTGCATTGCGTGGCATGGCGCCAGTGTGTTGTGGTGGTTCGGTAGGTGCCATGATGTCGTGAAATTATGCTCGAGCTAACTGCCCGAGTCGTTGTCAACGTAGATTGCCAGGTTTCTCGAGCTCCAGAGTCCAGCTATAGTTCCAGTGTAGTTCCCGTCGTCCAGATCGCTAATTCGCACCTGTCGTAATTACAACTTTGGCCAGTCTTGGGCACGCCGGCCGCTCGTCCTTCAAGCGTCAGAAGCTCAGGTCTTGCTCAGGCAAGGTGTTCGCCGATCGTAGTCGCAAATTGAGCTTTCTCTGGTATGTTGTGGCCCAGTGCTGACTGGTATGCGGGCCGTTGCTAGACGGGTGCGTTGGAATGTGAATAAAATGGGCTTCGCGTGGCAAAAGCAGCCCGTTAGACAGTTAGCAGATGATGAAATGAGTGACTTTCTCCAAAGCAAAAACAAAAACGAGTGTGTAGGTTTGAGAGACGGGAAAATGAACGTTGGCGAGAAACGAGGGCGGCTCATAAGTATTCATTTGAAAACTGCTCTGCCACCAACCATAGGTATGTTCTCTATGAGCAAGGGACTCTGCACCGCGGGCAGCCAGCGCGTTGACAATAACCGTCGTCGCGACATCTCAATCTTACTCCAACAGCAGTTGCGCTGTTGGCATGGGACCGCAATAAAATGTGCGATGGCTCACGACGGTGAGAAGACGATGAAGAAGCGATTCTCAGAAATGAGAGATCCAAGCCCGTCCGGCGCGGTCGGCTGGCTCGGCCCTCTTGAACGACTGCTCGCATCGCAAAAAGCCACAAGATCTGCTTTTTGCAGGGGATTGGAGATGGTTCCAAGGTAAGGTCGATGAAGGAAAGATGGAAGTCAGAGTGAGTGCCAGCTTCACTTGGTCGGTCGAGCGTCCGTGCGTTGCTTTCCGGCCGGCCTTGGCCGGAGCGCCGACCATTTATCATCACGCAATTGACATTGGACTCCACGCCTCCCAACATCGCGTTGCATCACCAGAATAGCATCTCCAGTCGGAACGCCTTACAATCTTTTTGGAATCCAGTTGAACCGGTGACAGTTGTGCCTCATCACTCACAATGGTCCGAACAGCCCTGCCAGCTCAGCTTCAGGAGTCTCCAGAAGACTCGTCTATGCACGACGGATTATTCAAGGAAGGTAAGAGTCGTCTGCACTTACAATTACAGGACGAGGAGCTCCGGACCAACTGATAATGCTCGCGGAATAGACAACACCGTTCCGCCCAAACAAGACCGAATCCTCCCCCTCTTCAGTCTCAAGGGTAAGACGGCTATCATCTCAGGAGCCGGCGCCGGCATTGGATATGCTGTGGCACAAGGCTTCGCCGAAGCGGGCGCCAACGTAGCAATCTGGTATCACGGCAACAAAAAAGCGATTGAAAAGGCCAAAGCCATCGAGCAAGAATTCGGCGTCAAATGCAAAGCCTATCAAACAGATGTCACGGACTTTGCAGATACGAAGCGCGTCATCCATGAAATCGTACAAGAATTCAATGGTCGTCTTGACATTTTTGTGGCTAATGCTGGCATCCCTTGGACCCAGGGACGAATGATCGATGGCCAATTGGATCATTACCATAAAGTTGTTTCCACTGATTTGGATGGTGTTTTTTACTGCGCCAAAGCTGCGGGCGAGATTTGGAGGAGACAGTATACGTCGGGAGTCGACGCTTTCGGTTCACCATTGCAAAACTACAGCTATGGATCATTCATCGCTACGGCTTCTATGAGTGGTCACATTGCCAACATCCCTCAACTTCAAGCCGCTTACAATGCTGCAAAAGCGGGCGTGATACACTTGTGCAGGTCTTTGGCGGTGGAGTGGGTGAAATTTGCGAGGGCGAACAGTGTCAGTCCGGGATATATGGCGACCGAGATTTCGGATTTCATACCACCGAAGACGAAGAGGATTTGGCATGGGAAGATCCCCATGGGTAGGGAAGGAGAGGCTAGTGAGCTGAAGGGAGCATATCTTTACTTGGCGAGTGACGCGAGCTCATACACTACTGGCACTGATATTGTTGTCGATGGAGGATATTGTGCCGTTTAAGCAGGCCACCTGGAGATGGGGATCGTAGCTCAAGAATGTCAGGTTGAAGAAAAGTTGTATAGCAGGGCTCTGCTTTCTTTGTGTTTATATGTACGTACTGACAGTGCTCCGGCATCGCTGCCTTTGTCCAGTTCTCAGCACATTAACCGAGTCATAGTCTAGTTAGCCCAGCAATCAAGTATTGGCGTAGATGTGGCCACTTTGACGGAAATTAAATCGTTTTCCGCCAGAGATAAATGTGCCCGGAATTTCATGAGATCGGTGCTAACATCATGCTCGATGGGTTAGGTTCCAGATTCCGGTACTGCTTATAGTATCTGACAATCCACAAGGTCTTCAGATCCGCTTGCTCGCCTATGCACGCCTCAAGATCCGTCCTGCGGCCGTTCTCTCAACTCGCAGTACGGACATCCCAGCGTACTTCCCGACTTCAGAAACCTAGGCTGAAAATGCAGCAGTTGATCGAAGAAGAAGTGAATCCAGTCGTGGTTGATCTCGGCGGTATGAGAAGGCTCTTTCTGCCCCATCTCGAGACCTAGAAAGCCGAACGAGACGTTGGTATGCTTAAGGTGTCGCATAGAGAAGAGTTCCTCTAAAAACACAAGAGTGTCTTTCCGCCTCTTATCCAGAAGCCATCTCGGGGAGTACGTCGCTAGCCAGGAAGGTCCCGCGGGTACCAAACTATTTGAGCTCATTTGGAAATTGATGCTGATGTGTTGGAGCATTCGTCTGTGTCTTGGCCGGATGGAGTTCAACCATTTGATAGGCATTGACATGTTCTCGGCTGCAATTGTAATGGCGAAAGCGTTGCGGCTGTAGTGGATTTTCGACGCCTCTGCACGGATTTGTTTACACGTGGCTAACAAAGCTGGCGGTCCTGTGACTGAGAAACCACGGCGATGTACTACGCTGCCTCTCCTCTCCAACTTCTCTTCCGCCTGGATCGTGACTGTCGCGGATGCGAGGACTTCTTCGTAGATCATGTCGCGAAGTTCACCTGGATACTTTTGTCAGCTCAACCAGATCTTCTTTGATGGAGCTCTCACGTACGAGGCAGCACTTGGAGGAGGATACAGGTCGACTTCGCCATCCTCCTTGACTCGTTGGCTTGATGTCGCGCTTCCAGGTGATGTTGACAAGAAGGCAGAAAATGAGAATGATCGAAAAGGGATGTGACGTGTACCTTACCTTTCCTACTGACTTACTGCTTCGGGGTGTGGCATCCCTTGCTTGAAGATCATCCTAGTCAAAAGCGACGTCCCGCGGGTAAGTGCGCCAAAACCCACTTCTCTGTTGGTGCTGGATCATGAACTGCCACCGAGGCTGGAACCAGTGAGGGAAGGATTTGGCATTTACCAGTATGGTGTTGTCATTGGCGAAGACGTTGCCATATTGGTATCTGTGGCGTCTGTCTTCTCCAAATTCCTCTGGGAGATCCTTGACGAGCTCGAGGAGAAGACAATTCATTTCCACTAGGAGTCTGGCAACAGCGGTCAACCGCATGAAGATCCACACTGCCGTTTGCAAGTTGGACTGAGTGGTCACCTTGGCTGCCACGAGTCTCGACAAGAGCATGGTGAGATTTCCCAGAAGAAAGACATTGTTTGATGGGCAGAGAGTTCCTTGCACGACCGAGCCTTTCCAGACGCGTGCGAGTCTCGTCCTGATAGCAGAGAAAGGCGAGGCGTGGCGTTCTCCTTTGGAGAAAGCTCCATATCTTGATTCCAGTTCTGTGTCCTCGTGCAACATTCGCTTTTCGTGGCTGAGGAACTGCGGTCAGCCATCTGCACGGGTGTCGGCGCGCGTCTCGGGACGTGGAATTTGTTCTCCATCATAGTAATCACCTAGCAGCGATCCGAAGTGGAGGAGGTATCTTCTTTGCCACCTCGAACGGAGATGCCGAAGGTCGAAACCACCCGGCGTGTCGTGTGATTAGTAGTATGTTGCGGGATGATCGTTCTGCATCAAATGACGCAAGTCCCCTATTCTATTCTCATGTTGCACACGAACGGGATGCGAGGATGTTGTGCAGCGCGATCGACTCCGAGGATTTGGGGTGACAGGCGGCGCCAGCAGAAGGAAGGTATTTTGGTGAACGGTAGCTGGGACCCTTTCGAGGATGTTGTTCGTGAAGAAGATGCTTGATACAGGAGATGGTGGGACGCTTGGCAACGATTTTGGCTTCCTTGGCAGCGCGAAGGGAAGTTCTGCAGCATCCGGATCCAAAATAGATCCTTAGCGGGGCATATGCTCAGTCTAGACCGTAGATATGCTGTAGATATGCGATATAATAATCTCAACTGTAGGCTCAGATAACAGCATTTCTCCAGTTTTCTAAAGCGGTGCTGTTTATAGTAAGATGCTATTATAACCTAAGTACTGTTTGCTAAGGCTGCTATTAATTAGGTCCTGCAGTAGAAGTAGGTCCTACAGTTCAGCAATCTATGTAGTAGGAGCGAGTCCTACTGTTCAGCAGTTTATATAGTACAATAGTATATGCGAGAGACAGGCCTATTTAGTATAGAGATTTATACGGGTGCTTTAGTTTATACGATTGCAGTTTTCTATATAGGCTACTTAGTACATCCTATTCCCTTACCTGCCTTGCCGACTGCTAGCTATCCGGCTATCTACCTGTCCTTCTAGCTATAGAAAGCGTTAAGAGGTATTGTTAGTACGTAGCTCGGTCGTAGGAGAATAGCTTCGGTCGCAGTAGAATAGCATAGCTTCGGTCGCAGTAGAATAGCATAGCTTCGGTCGCAGTAGAATAGTATAGCTCGGTCGCAGTAGAATGGCAAATCTATACTAAAAGTTAGCGATTGTTATTAGAGTATAGATTTCAGACTTACGAGTAGAAGAGTAGAGGGACTATATAAAGGACCGCGTAGAAAGCCTAGTTTCTAGTTAGTTAAGAGTGTAGTATTCTGCTAGAGAGTCTATACTATAAGGAGCGTGTGTTCGATAGACATCTAGCGCGTCGGCTTAGCCTATTTATTGTTTAGCATTAAGTTATTACTATTAAGATAAAGCTGAACATACCTAACTACCTTTAAAGGAATTGCAGGTCCTAATCGACAAAGAGGGCACGGTCACTGCTTCTTATATTAATAGCAGCCTTGCCCTTTGCTATCTAAAGGCCCTGCCTAGTTACTAGCACTATCCAAATCTTACTGCTATTAATACCGTTAATACCGACAGTTACCTACTTAGTAGTAAGCTTATATACTAAAAGCTGTAGCATTAGATCCTTTCGGTCCATCTAGGCGACAGTAATTAGTACGAAAAGCGAGATGCTACGAGCCGTACGGTACGTAAAGATCTGATCGATACGGCCGATATTAATACCGCCGCGATATCGAACAAAGTCTCCCCGGCGAAGGACAGTCCGGCGCTAGGTAGGCTTATTATCGAAGGCAAAGCGCTTGTACTAGTATAGAGCATCGCTATTGTCTAGTATGCAATTAGTCCGGTTGTAGTCGTATTAGTATACGGCTATAAGTGCATCTTTGAATAGCTTCTTTATAGCATTATTGCGGATAGGAAGTAGCAAGAAGTCTTTATAGTAATACTATAGCAGGCGATCGCCAGTTGTTACATTTAGATAGTTGTCGTCGCTAAGCATAACCTCCGTACTATCGAGAACCGAGTAATCGTCGCTGTTAGTGCCTCGCTTAGACCGCGGTAGGACATTGTCGAAGAGCTATAGGTTATTCTTAAAGAGGTCGCTTATTTAAGCCGAGAGGTTAGGCTCCTGCTTATACGTACCTTATAGCAGCAGTCGCACAGTTATTTTAAGACCCTACCGCTCGAGGAGGTCCTTCTTAGGCCTATATTAGTTAGTAAGGTAAATCTGCTGCTTTATAGTCTTATACTTAGCTTCGCTAGCTAGTATATTAAGATTGCTAGCTATAGTATATTTAGCAATTATCTCTGCGTAGTGCTGCCCGATATAGACATTTAGTCGCTTTGCTATACTACGGTATTTAGCTGCGCCCTTAGTCTCCTTCGGTTGTTAATCTGCTATAGCTGCAGCTATAGCTATAGGTGTAGGTGTTTAGCTAAGCTAGGTGCTAGCAACAGGAGGGATGCTATAACTACGGCTACGCTGTCGAGTGTATAGATTCTTAATGTTCGAAATAGCTGCGTATTCTATAAGTTCCTAGAAGATACGCCGCATTGCTACCATTTTAGTTATATAGTCGATGCGTTGCTAGGTAGTAGTCTTCTTCGATATAAGGTAGACATTCGAACGAGCTAATACTATAAGGAAGCGAACTAGAATTGCAGCTACTAATACGTCGTCTATTGGTATCTAGAGCTCCTAAGCAAGACTATTAGCAACCTAGTACAGCATAGTACCTTGTTAGGATAATATGCCCTGTACGGTATCTCGGAATAACTGCACAATATAGCTATTATTTAGCTAAAGACGACCCAAAATTGGGACTGTAACAGACTAACGCGCGTGCTTAGAGAGGCTGTATTGCGCAAGATAGTATAGTAGAGACTAGAGGCGGTTCTAGCTAGGAGGCATTAGAAACCTATAAATTGCTTTACCGTATTCGAGTTGAGCCGTATTAGTAAGAATCTCTGCGAGAAGGACAGTATAGAACATACTAGTTATGCCCTTATACTCTAAGTAAGTAGGATCCGAAGGTCGTAACAGGATAATATCTAAGGCTAGAAATAGCTACTAGAGTGCGGGAGTCTTACTAAGTATGCTATATTGCCGGCTAAAGGTCGCTCGTATAGAAGCTGCTATACCTATAGAAGACATATACTGTCGGATTCGCTCGTTCTTATAGTAGAAGCGTAGGCAATCTACGTCGAGGTTGCCGCGATCTGCTAAGTGTATATAGCAGAAGCGATAAGAGACATTAGCTCTAGGGCCGAGTATACTAGAGTTTTCTTGCTGTTGTAGCATGTCGCTAATATACGCTAATGCGAATGCGTAAACTAACGCCTTACCGCCTAGTATATATAGATTAAGCTCTTATCCGATATCAAGACTCTTTAGTCTCGGGGCAATAGCGCTAATTACGTCCTCCGTATTGCTACCGTATAGACCTAATGTAAATGGAATAATATTAGAGGTCCGATTTCGCTCCTATATAGAGAGGCTAGCTATAATTATATACTAGCCTATTAATAACCGGTGCATGTTGCGGTATAGGCTAAAGCTATCGATGAATAGTAAGAAAGGCGCGGAGAGAACCTTTAAACCGGTTGTATACGAGTCAAACTTAAGGAGCTACTAACGACCGTATACTATGATTTCTAGCTTACCGCGGATTAGATAGGTTTAATAAATCGGGCGGATAGAACCATTGCGGGTAACAATACGCCGTATAACAAACTTGTACCTATCGTCGCGTAGAAGCGGAGCAGCGTCGATCTTGCTTTCGTATAGGTAATATATAGTAACTAAACCTAAGTTGAACGGCTATATATTAGCTTCTAGAACAGTGTAGAGTTGATTCTCTACCTAGAACAGCTCGTATTCGACAACATTATTAGTAAGAGACTGTCGTGTATATGTAGGTAACGCGCCGTAGTTAAGAAGCGGTACGATCTAGATTACTGTTAATCCCTTACTACCCTTGTAATCTGCCTTCGGGTTGCGCTTTGTCGGCTCGCGATTATCGACCTATATAGCTATAACGCGGCTAGCGTAGGCTTAAGTCGATCGACAACTGTAGCTAATATCCTAGTATAGGAAACGGACAAAGTCTAATAGAAAAACAGGTCTACTAGCGTTGCCGATAAATTACTGCTAGTCAACTAGAGGTGCTAGTATTAGTAGAGTCTCCTCGTTACCGTTAGTCCGAGCTACCTTCCTCGTACGAGTCTTCTTCTTAAGCTCGTATTGTAGTGCGACTCTACGTGCAGGTCTAGTAGCGTAGGTAACTAGTGCGCCGCCTAACGATAGATATCTCGCGAATATACTAGAAGTTATACGGATCGAGCTTGCCTAAGCACGGGACTAAAATAGCTTAGTCGGTAGGTCGACAAGCTTAGCTAGTCCGCTATATATAGCATTGTTAGAGCTAAGTAGGCGAGTGAATAGCTCTTGTAGGTCGAAGAAGTATAGCGGCTCGGAGGTCTTGAAATCTTAAGACCCTAGTATAGTTAGCAATGTCTTCTGTTTCTATAGAGGGATTTCCTAGTAGCGTATTAGTAGTAGTAGAAGAACCGACTTTAGGTGCAATTTGATTGTATTAATTGACTTAGGTAGATCGGATAGCTTACTGTTTAGTACTAGGGTCGTAAAGATATTGTATAAGGAGGCATAGTCGGATCGTGAGATGCCTATACCTTAGAGCTAGAGACTAAAGGACATCTCTAGGTTGTTAATAGCGCGGATACGATAGCCCCTCTTCTAATTAAGGAGCTAAGATTAGTCGCTCGCTAGGGTCGGAGGTAGAAGTATAAGGCTAGTCTATTAAGTCGGAGGTACGTGTTCCTTATCAGCTTTAATATATTCTTAACCTAGTACAGCTGTCGCTTCCTATACAAAGATAGGCTCTTCATTAGCCTGGATTTAATACCTAGCTGCCTCGATTACTTTATCTACGCTTAGCTAATTAGCATCTTCGATAGCTTAAGTTAAAGCTAGCTGAAGATTAAGCAGCTTAGTAGTTATACGTGCTATAGGATTGACGGCTTCTATCTGTACTAATTCATTATTTTCAGGCTCGGTAGTTGCAACGATATTATCTAGGGCTAGAAGGTTACTCGAGTCTTTAGCCGCGCCTTCGTATCCCTTATTATCCTCCTCCTCCTCTTGTTCTTATTCTTGTTCTTCGTATTCGCGAGGGCGCTTCGTTCCGGTTAGAACAGATAGTATTGCTACGGCTGCGGCTGCGGCTATAGCTAGCTATAGTGTCGCTTAGGGAGGGTTTGGCTAAATACCTAAGACGCCTAGCGGCAAGAAGGTGAAACGCATAGCTAGACTGTGGTTTTTAGACTGTGGTTTTTGGACTATAGTGTTTAGACTGTAGTGTTTAGACTATAGTGTCTCGAGGGATGAGTTTGCTTAGAGTTAGAGGTTAGTAGATAGAGGTAGGTATAGGTGTTTGCTACGGAAGGCATATACGCGCTTTAACGCGCTAAGCATAATACGCGTAGCGAAGGTTGCTTCGTAAATAAAGACAATACGCGTGAATATAGTAGATCTTCCTTTGTCTTATTTACGCGACCGTGTAATTTAGAGTCCTTTCTGTATATTCTTGCTTGTTTACGAAGTCGCCGGAAGCGCTAAATAGTATGTCGATATCGGCGTCGAGTATATAGATCTATTTGTCGATCTATAAGGAGTAGTAGTTAGTGTATATTAATACTTGTTTATTATCTAGGTATTATAAGCTAAAATAAATACAGAGCAGAGCTAAAAAAAAAATAGCAGCAGCAACACTACTAGCGCTATCGCTTAGCTAAGATCTAAAAAAATACACAGAGATATAGAAATATAAAAATAATAAAGGGCCTATGCCTTTAGAGGCGGAAGGGCCATTAGCCGCTTCTTAGCGCGCTTAGCGCTAGCGAGGTTCTTTCTCTATTATATAGTTAGTATATCTATATAGTATTGGAAAGCTATACATACCTTGCGACCCTTGTCGCTAGCACTAGTCTTCTTCGGTATAACCTCCGCGAAGTCGGAGCGGACTACTCTATCGAAATCTTTATTAATGCTATATATATTAATTAGCTACTAGATGCTAGATGCTAGAAGGTCTTACGGGTAGCTGTCGTATGCCTCTACGAGGGCTTTGTTTACGTTGGCGTATTGCTCGCCTATATATACTGTTAGCTCTATCTATATGTAGCGATTACCTACTATTCCGAGCGACTTACTAAGCTTCTTGTCGGCTCGAGTAGCCGCAGCCACCTCCGAGTATAGAGCGCGATACTACCCTATATAGAATTAGTATATTAGCTATCGTACGAGTAGCGATTCTTCGATACGGAGCTTCGGAGGTATCGATTTAGGTATAAAGCTTATAATAAATAATGCTTCGAGAATCAAAGACTTAGTATAGTATGCTATGTTAAATAATATATACTTGTAGAAGGCTTGCCCCTAAGGGCCGGACTAGTCGACATCTAGCCGACCTTTTATATACTTAAAGCTATATATCTATGTTAGCATCGTTTATTAGGCTAGAAGAGAGCATATTATATCAAAAGAAATAGGAAATAAAACATTAGTATTATAATCAACTTATATAACGAAGAACTCGTCTTCGCTAAAGCGGGCGTCGAAGAAATCTAGCGTCTCTTCGATATCTAGGCCTAAAAGGGAGGGGTCCTCGGCTATAAGCTTCTCGACGTATTTCTGTATATAAATTAGCTATATCTACACTAATAAGAGTACCTTAGTAAGCAAAAGTTGAAGGTTTCAGAACTAGAAGATTCGAGATTGTACTAAAGATTAGTAGGCTTCGAAATCATTAAGTTCTAAAGCTAGATGCTAATATGCAAACGTATAGCTTAATAGTAAAAAAAGAAGATATAAATAGGCGGCTAGAGGGATCAACTTATACGACAATTTCTAATAGTTTCCGACTTCAATGTTCGGGTATTAAGAGCTTTGCTCCGAGCCTAAGCAAACAGCATTTTGTTCTCCTTAAAGATAGCATCTCTATAAATTATTTTAATAATATCATCCTTTGGCTTATAGCTACTAGTTTCGAAATGCATCTATTTGAACGCTTAATTAAGTAAATTACGCTTGTTAGTCTTAGCTTTAAAGGCTTAAGACTTAGTAGTAGTAGGAACAGGAAGGGACTTTATAGGTAATCGTATATAGGGATATTTCGTAAAGAAACGCAAGTGCTCTCGAATCTGTAAATGAATTAGCCTACTGCACTATATTACTATAGCCGCCTGTTTACATATAAAGGCTTAGCAAACGTTAGAATAAATAAATAGTGTAGAGGTGTAAGAGGTGTATGTATTAGACATAGTCGTAGTAGACAGTTTAAGCTAGATTCTAAAGCTGTATTCTAAAGCTGTATTCTAAAGCTGTATTCTAAAGCTATATAACCTGAATTCTGAAGCTAGTGTTGTGCAGACCAATACTATATAGGAATAGTAAAGAGTGTAGGATGTAATATACCGGTGCTTCTAGTAGTAGCCGCTTTGCCGGCGGCTCTGCTACTGCTGCTGCTGCTGCTACTGCTGCTGCTACTGTCTCTGCTATATCGAATCGGGCGCGCGCGAGATCTAGAAAGTCGATATATAAAGGACTTAGTAGTACGGAAGCGATGCGAATAGGTGCGCGTAAAGGAAGATTACTATATAATAGCATAAAGTCGGAAGGAAATACGGGTAGTATCCACATCCCTAACCGCTTAGCGGCTATTCCTATTAGATCCTATAGCAAAAGTGGATCTCTACGGTTTAGAAATCTATATAGTACACAGATTCAACAGTAGGCTAACTGTCTACAGCATATTAGGAGATTACAGTGGACGTACAGCTGAAAATAACTTATACAGTTGGACTGAGAATTGCTGTAAGATTACGGTTTTTTCTTACCCTATGTGCGCGCTAAGGATTGCTGCTAAAATCCTCTTGGCTTGGGGTATTGGCAATTGCGTCAACGTCGATGCTATTTGCGATTTGCCATACAGAGTGAATGGCCTCGAGGATGGCTTATTCGGGAGGCTGGGCTTCTTCTTCCGGCCACCTCCTCCTGAGCTCCAGCCCCAAAGCAGACTCGACCTTGCGTACCGTGAAGCTCCGTACCAACGAGAGCATTCATTCGGGTGGGCATACGGCGGGCGTGCAGCTATTTAGCGAAGGCTAAATGCAGTGCTTGCTTGCCGCGCGACATCAATGTGAGATGATGAATGCAAGGCAACGATCATTGGGGCGATGCTTCGTATTATTGGAGAAAGGGCAAAGATACAGTACAATGTAGCTGCAGTCCGGAGTCCTATTTGCGTTGCCGTCTCACTCTGCCTCAAGGTCTTTTGATCCGCTATCACATCGCAGCATTGTCCACCCCTCTTCTTCCCAAGCTACACTCCTGAGCTCCTCCGCAGCGAATCTACGCACCTCTGGCAATACCACAACAACAGGCTGCCCTGGGACATCGTGCCTGGGCCATTGGGATAGGTGTGGTGAGTCTCGGGGTGGCATCGATCGGTGCTGTCGCCAGGCCAGGTGTCGACAGCTCTTCAAGTGCAGCAGCGGGAGGACAAAGCATTATTATTATTGTCCCTCGTCTTCTCTCGTATCCACATCTCACGCTCACGCCTCGCTGCAAGGGTGGCATGTGAAGCACCGAGCACAGCGCCGACTGAGCCCACTTCCCTCCTCAGTGCATCATTACTGGCACACTACGGGCGAGCGACGGCTGGGCTGGCCTGGGCTGGGCTGATAATCGCGCGAGACCTTTGCGAAGCACTGTAACGCTATTCTATCTTGAATCTTCCATCGCGCATCCGCTGCGTGTCTCGGACTCGCGCCGATCACTCTCTCTTATCTGCACTGCACCGCGTCTGCTTCGCCAGATCCATACACATACAGTCCAGCTGCTCGCAGCCCAAAAGCCCGCCAGACGCACGCCGCTCATTCGCACGGCAGTGTGCAGCAAGCGCATGCAGGAATATTGGCCTGCAGTCTCCATCGCAGTCCCCCGGTCCCGACGCAGCGTAGAATAGTCGACCTTGCGCCGGCGAGCATACGACCGCACCGCACCGCACCGCACCGCACCGCACACATACATTCGACGCGTCTGCCCTCGACGCCGACACTGCCCGCTGTGTGTGTCCGCCGGTGTTGCGCTTGCTGCTGATTGCTGCTGCGAGAAGCTGAAACACCACTCTCGACCCCGCAAAGACGCACGCACGCAGACAGCCGCAAACAGCAGCAACCAGCCTTCACCATGTCTGCAGTCGCCGTTGCGAGGAAGCCCCTCCCCGCCCAGGGACAGAGACTGGCTCCTGCACAACACAACAATGGCAATGGCAATGGCAATACCATGAATAGCCAATATAACCACAGTCGGGCAAGAACCAATTCCTCCACCGCTCTTGGCTTACAGAACGACTCTCGGCAACCGAGCATATCGCCGTCTTACAGCATGACACAATCGCAGTCACAATATCCTCAGCCTGGGCAGACCCGCCGCACCCTATCAAATGCCACCGGCTCCTCGACCTCATCACAAAACTCCAACCTGCAAAGAGCGCCCACGAACATGACCAATGGCGTGCGTCGATCCACCTCCTCTCGCAGCAACTCCTCCCTCTCGCCCACCTCGTATGTCGCCCTCATGCGGAAACAAAAGGCCACGGTGTGGTGCGATAGAGCTCAACATGAGGATCCAAGAATATTGGCTGCGCAGCGCCAAGCAAAGATGCGGGCTGCGGCCGAAGTGGCTGGTGGGCACAACTACGCTTCCACGGTACGCACAAGCACTAGCAGTTCGGGTGTTGTAGGCGGGGTGCGTAGCAAGATCCGGCATCACGGAGCTCCAAAGGCCAGTGCATACAACGCTACGTTGAAGCCTGGTGCCGGCGTCCCGATGCGGCTCAGTGCTTCTGAAGTGGACGACGGAAACACCAGTGATGATGACACCGGAGCTCGGTATCACGTCCGAACTGGCAGTGGTCGGAGCAGTTTGGGGAGTGGCAGGAGAGGCCACAGCTTCCACGCTTCCGGGCTGAACAACTCATACAGTAACGGCAACACGCCTCCTGGTGTCAGTCCAGTAGACAGTATGGGTGATCCAATCGAGGAGGAAACGCCGATGCCCAGGAACGATGGCGTAGAGCTGGACTACTTCGGCAAGCCTAGTGGAAGCAGCGAAGAGGAGCAGTTCGGTCAAGTCGGCGGCCTCCCTTCGCGGAAAATCACAGTCGAAGAACAAATACAACAGCAGAAGAACAATGCTGATGACCTCAGGCGGAGAGGCAGTGTGGACGAGAGGACCATGACCATGTCTGGACCACGCTTGTTTGTTGCTAATCCCGACTTGAGCGATTGAGGTCGGGAATGTGCAGTCACGGCACGCACACAAGAACAGATTCGACATGTTCGTCTTTGCTGCGCGGATGGATGCGTCCACACGCTGTCCGGCATTTTGCCCACCATTTATTGCTTGCATTTTTTCGTGAAGCGTTCAATCGTTGGATACCACAGAGATACCATTGTCTCGAGACAGTTTGATTTAAGCTTCAAGCATAGGCGAATGCATGCACCTTCCGTCCTATATCTGCCAACAGTCGTCACAAGCTTCACTTGACCATGCCCATATGTAGATCACTTTCAGTTCCAATGATCAGACGAGTTGGCTCACGAACACGTTCGACACACAAGCCCATCAAAAGGGTCTGTGCTCAGCCTTGCCTTACGTTGGAGTCCGATCGGAAAACTGCAAGCTTCGCTACAGCAACCACGGCTTTAGTTTTCCGCGATCTCGTCATACTCCTACTGTACTCCCGAGTGAGTGCATCAACACGACCCGACTGGAAAGCCAGACACCAGTCATGCATACTCGACGGCACGCACAATTGGAGGACTTGCCTGTGCTCCATCCCGGTGTCGAGTCCACTTTTCTTTGCGTGAAATGGATGCTACTGATGTCAAAGAAACGGATATAGAGAAGGCTTGTGTCAATGTGAGGTGATGAAGATTGGTATCGTGCATATCTATCCGCCCCATCCATGCCTCGTCAAGCCCGAATTTTGCACCTGTACCTCAAAATCTATCTTTAAGCCTCATCGAACCACAATCTCTCGCTACGCTTCTTCTCTCCCCCTCCTCGTCCGCTTCTACACTCTCTTCACTCGGCGCATACCATCCAGAATCGAAGCCCCGAAACTCGGACTCCTCACGCCTCTTCCCGCGCTGCGCCTCCAATTCGTCGAAACTCCTTCGTTCCTCGCCACTGTCACCATTCTGTTCCCCGATCTTGGTCCGAAAGCATGCCCTTCCCAATTCACAGCGGTGGTCATCTGCCGAAAGAGCGCCGCTCATTACAAGCAGCTCAGTATTGCTAGCGTATAGTCCCCCATCGATAGTGTTACATCCGCTATCCGAGTCGAAAACCACACCTCCGAATCTGTCTTCCTCCGCGAAACTGCTGCTGACTGGATAGGATGCCAGGAGCTTTGAGCTGCGCAGTTTGTTCTCGAGTTCCCAGAGTAGCTTCTCGGCTTTGCGCTGATATTTGCCGGCGCCAGGCGTGGGCGTGAAAGTGTTTGGATACGTTCGGTTGGTGGTAGAGGGGTTTGATGACTTGAATGGAGGTGGGCCAAAGGCGTCTCGATGGAGTTGGCCGTCCAGGACTCGGGCGTCGCGGTGCTTTGGGGCAGGGACTGAGCTTTTCTTAACGTTAATCTCTCTGGTCATGCTGTCGTTTGCGTATTGGCTGACTTGGGAACCTCGAATTGTATCCAGTCCAGTAATGCAGTGAAGCGCTCGAGGTGGAGTTGCAGCGAGTAGTTGCGGGCGAGGGCTTGCAATAGAAGTATATTGCCAGAGCGAGGATTGCTTCCCAAAAAGCGAGTGACAGCAGATGTGGCCTGTATCTCTTGACCGCGCATCTGTTTGCTCTGTGTCGCGTGCAGAGACAAGCGCGTGCATACACAATCATGAAGCCAGTTAAGCGTCGTTTCAAGGGTTTGAAGTAACGTGCCTGGCGCATCACTTGACATGTGCATCGCTTCGTGATCTGTCGGCTATCTTTCACATGACGCTCTTGGCTCAGCTATGCGTCGGAGCTTGATAGTCATAGGCTCCTGTGCTGGCTTGCGGCACTGGAGCATTCAAGCCCCACCAATTCCCGCACGTAGTCTCGTCATGTATCTGCATGTTCACGTCCTCAAGATTATCCAGCATCTCCCAGCTTCCATCATTGAATACCTCATTGAAAGCATTAAAGTCCACATTTTCCATACCAGCAAAAGGGTCAAAATCGAGATTGAAGTCCATGACTGATCCTGTTCCAGTGCATGGTCCCGAGAATGATGAGCCATTGTGACTAGCGGGCGTGCCTGCAGAGTATGATGCAGGTGCCTCTGGTTGAGGATAGTTGTATTGCCCGGCCGCCATGGCCTGGTGGTTGGGCGCATGACTTTCAGGTGCTTGCTCCGGCTGCACGCTCTGCTGGACGTGCACCATGTTTGGACTGTATTGAGGTGTTTCTCGTTGGGCTGGAGCTGATATATCGGTCCGAGTGCGCTTATGACTGGCCTGCTTCTGTGCTGCTAGCTGCTGCCTTCTCTGCAATCGTATGTGACGCGCTCGCTCAATCAGGGTATGCACGTGTTGCCACGCTGGCTCCTCTCGCTTGGTCTTGTACATTCTGTCCCAATCAGCCAAGATCGGATCAAGCACTGCCCAAGCATTATTTGCGAAATCCAGATTTGTGCTCCAGCCCAGCTCAGCAACCACAATCGCGAGCGAGTGCCATTGCACATAGCCTCGGAAGTACCAGTTGTAGTCGGATAATCGCTCGTCGTTCGCGACGCCATGCGTCATTTGGATGATGTCTACAGATGCTTGAAGTAGGGTCATGCGTTCTTCTTTTGGCATGTCCTTTGTGGGCGTGGTGCCAAAAGGGAAATCGATGATCAAGCGCGCCTTGATCAGCATGCTCTCGACGAAGTTTGTGCATAGCCAGTCGTACGCCCGTGAGGTGTGCATGTATTGCATATAGTTCGTGTCGAACCTGAATTTCGCTTGCTCGTAGTAGTCGTTTTGGTGATCTCTCACGCTGTCCGGGCCTGAAGATTCTTGGCCAGCCCAGTTGCCGTTCCTTTCTTTCCGGATACCCCACAGGCCAAACACAAGTCGGTGAATCTCAAAGCGAAGGATGGGAAATGTCATGTCTGCAACTCCTACGCGGGTTTGGGGTGGATGTGTCATGCTGGGGTCCAAGTCATTATCGTTCAGGTTGGCAGGCAGCTGGACATTTCGATCCTTCAGAATTGTCGTGTTCCTTGATCCACCTTCCTCAGCCGTTCGAGATTCCAGGCCGCACAAGTGATACCACAATCTTCGACGCATTTCAACCTCAAACGGCGAGTATCTGCCTTCGGGATCTTCGTGCAATCCTATCATCTGTGCCGAGCGTACTGCAAGCGAAAATAAAGCACGAATATTAGAGCCATCATCTGCTCGTCTGATACATATGATGTAGAGCACAAGAGCCTGCAATGCCTCAAGTTGAGGTGTGTCGTAGTTGTCTCCCAGCGCGGCCTCAACACTACGTCCATAGCGATGCATCAAGACGTCCTGTGCGTCGCCAAATCTGCGTCGTGCCTCACGTGCAGTGCACGTGCTTAGTGCTGCGTAGTAGATGGCGAACATCAGAGCCTCGGTGGACGATGGAACATTTGCCAAATTGTCGATGACACTGAACAACTTCGTTGCGAATGTCGGACAATGTATCAGCTTCGTCATGGGATCGGCTCGGGTCACAAACAGATGCCAATATTCGAAGATGCGACGCACCGGAGGATGTCGTGTGCCAACGGCGGTTTGTGGGCCAGAAGTGTTATCACGATGAGGCCAAGCTCCATCATCGTATTTGTTGTCATGATCCGAGACTGACGACTTGGTAAGCGCTATCAGTGCATCTTTCACCAGATCCTCGGAGTTTGCCGTCTGAGCTGGCGGTCGAGGGCCAGCTGAGAGAGAAGGTTGTCCGTAGGCGGAACGACTTGGAGAAGATGCGTGGCCTGGGCTTGCAGAGTCACCATTGCGAGTGCCATCTTGCGCATGATTCTTCGGCTCGAGATACTTGACGAGATCTTCCAGATGTCTCTGCCTCGGCGGTTTGTCCTTCTTGTACGGGCCTCTTTTGCGCTTGACGCCAACATCCGGTGTTGGATAGACGCAAGGCAGGTCGCTTTTGGTGCAGTTCAAGCAGCCGTCTGGCTCACGGCTGCACTTCAGCTTCCGCCGCCGACATCCCAAGCAAGAAGTGCCCGGCTTATTCACTGTGTTCTGGAGGAGAATTGCTTCGGACATGGGCTTGACAGGCGCGCCACCGAGGGTGCAGGCGCGAAGCAGGCTCACATGGAGATGCTCCAATTCGCGGGAGAGTGTGCCCAATGGGTTGAATGCAGAAGCCGTGGCAGAAATGCTCTCTTCCCAGGTGTCCTGCACTCAAATGCTAACGAGCATGTCGCCTTGTCCAGCTTGCAGGTGCAGCTGAGGCGGCGGGCCCAGATCGCCGAACCCTCTGGCTCCATCTTGAAGCCAGCGAATGAGATTGCTGGAGGAGAGACACCAGAGGATCAGAGAGATAGAACACTTACCGGGCATGAATATAGAAGTGATGCCTCATGATCGAGCATGATGAATATTGAGGAAGATGCTGCCTTCACACATCAGGTCACAATTCGCAGCCGAAATGCCAGCGAACCAGCCCTTCGAACACTATCAAGCAGTACACAAGGTATAATAATGAAACACAGCACGTGAACCAGTCACGAGTGCCGATGGGAGTGAAGAACAGTTTTGGACACCATCGGCCTCGATGCGGTATTTACCTCCTACTGCAAGATGTATACGCTGTCTTCTCCGATGGAAAGATCATCAATTTACAAAGGTTAGAACTATCCGAGGCACCGATGACATCACGACAGAGTGCTCAGCATGCTGTCAGGGAGGTCTATGAGAAGCACCAAGGGCAGGCTCTAGTAAAGGCTGGGCCGAGCAAAGGTGCAGAAAGTGTTGCCCGCGGATCGTGCTAGGAGTCTTTGCAAAAGGTGCTTAAGGTGGAGTAGTAGGTTCCAGCTCCTTATTGTGCATGTAAGTCCCTAGCTTGGCTACAAGTTATAACGCAAGCAGTATTGGTATGCCTCAAAGGCGATCGATGCCACATCAGATCATCCGCATTTCGTTCATCGCTAGCAACGTCGAGAGCTCGATGAGTGCCGAGAGGTTAATTGTGCAGCTCGGCACGTGAGGTTGACACACGACTGACGAATCTTCGGTGCTGCATGACAATGCATTCTGTCGAAATGACAAATGCATGGCAATGACAAGACTTGACACGAATGCGCAATTTGGAGCCATGACTTCGAGCTTTTAGGCATATCGCGTGCGACTTTTTGATGCGCTATTGCCATCAGTGTAGGGTATCCTTCATTGCCCGGCCACTATCTTGGGATGCAAAGCATCATCGCATTCGCGCGAGCTGGCTGTTGGGTCAGATTCACTGTGACGTACTCATGGCACTGCGCGAGGACTGCTTGACCGGGAGATGCATCTCATAGTCTTGGTGAAATGGCAGGGTGTGCTTGCAAGGTCTCGTGCGGCCCACGCTTTGTCCAAAGGCAAACTTGAAGGAGGTGAGGTGACGATCTGGATGTGGCGGAGCGATGAAGCTGAGTTGCTGCTGAAGGCCGATCTCTCAGCGTCTCACGGCTCCCGGGCAAATCGCGCAGGAACAAGGTATCGATGCACTTTACTCCAGGATCTCCCGCGCACAGAAGCAGATCGGCAGCTTAAGCAGAAAGCGCGCGAAAGCACAATGCCGGCGTATGAATCATGTCCGAGTGCTCGTGTGCTTGAGAGTGCGACAAGAGGCGTACGAGCGTCGACGACGAGAGGTGTACTTATTAAAAGGTCGCAGGGCAGGCGCCATTGTATGTATACAGGTACATCTTATTGATTAGCGTCGGCGGTGCACGGGGACTTCGGGAGACGGGCAGCACGTGCAGGGTTGCGAGAAAAGAGGTTCTTGCCGGGCGCCGGGCGATCGCCAGGGCTTCGGGGTGCAGGGTGCTGAGTGGATGCAAAGCTCGACTTCATCTCGCATAGCTTCGTGCAATCTCCTCGCCCGAAACGCTTTTGACGGCTGCTGGTGGCGGTGAGGCGGTCTGAGAGAGCCCGATCATCACCCGCCATTCATCCTGTACAATCAGGTGCAGACGCGTGCTGCTCAGAGCCTGTCTGGTTGGATTGCGCGCGTCCGACTGCAGCTCCTGCCTCCTGGTCTTCACGAGCCCACGCAGCCGCAGGCCCCGAAACCCAAGACATCGCATTCAACGCATTGGTCTCTGCTGCGTCCCAGAATGGACGGGTGGCTCTGAAGCCGTTGTGCTATTATCGTTCCATGACGTTTCCGATGGTATGAGTGGCCCTCGTAACCTCGTTGCGAAGCAGAGTTTGGCTCTAGCACGCTGCGGCTGCGCGCGACGCACCGCTCTCTCGGGGCTGGAAAGGGAAGCCTGCTGGCCTGTCAATGGCTGAACGACTCGGCCTGATTCTGACATTGTCCTTCATTCAAGCATGTGCCGGGACAACCTTGCCAGCCAATACCTGTTGGTCATTTGCAGGGCTTCGTGATATAGACGCAACATTTCGTCCTCCATCTTCGTCACCTGGTCCTCTCCGCTTGCTGCCGAGCTAAACGTCGACAATGTGCGCGTTACCGCCTACCGAACACTGCTGAAACCGCACCGGACCAGCCTTTCGCACTGACCTATGGACCCCGAGCAACACCACCTATAGTCTGGAGATGCTGAAGAGTCTTTTGAGCTGACTGGAGCTGACCTGGCCATTCGATACCTGGCGCAGATCAATCTCAGTCGACGACAAGGGCGATCATGCGTCTACGGTACTCATTGATCTCGCTACTTGTAGCTCTATGCTGCGCCGAACCGCTCGGCAGGATTGGCTTGCGCGCGAGACAGAACGACGTTGCCACTGCCACAGACAGCGCTCCCGCCAGCCGCAAAACCAATGTCCAAAGCACGCCCACCACGACCAGTCCAACTTCGACCGCATCTGCATCTACCACTGGAGACCAAGCAAAGACGAAGTCCGACGACATCAGCAGTGGAGATGCCACTTCACCCATCACGCTCGCGCCGACTGCCACCCCAAACGTTGATACTACACATTCGAATGCGACCTTGCCTGCGGATGCCAACAAGGATGAAGATGCTTTGCCCATCAAGCCAAAGATTACACCTGCTTGTGGAGTCGCCGGTGCCATCCTGATCATTGCCGGATTGATCTTGGCCTTCGTGGGAATCAAGCATAGACCCACACAGACATTCCTAAGCACATCTTTATTGATCGCGCTTGGAATTGAGGTCCTTGTCATTTACCTCATGCACCCGCCGGTTCCAGATGCCATTCAAGGTGCATATGTGGTTGCCGGAGTTGTTGGAGGCTGTCTTTTGGGCTCTCTGGCTTTGATATTCAAGGAAGTTTCCGAAGGCTTCGGATGTGTCTTGGGAGGCTTCTGCTTTGCCATGTGGCTCCTCACTCTGGCTCCAGGTGGTTTGATTCAGAATCAGGTCGGGCGCATCATCCTCATTGGCGTCTTTTGCGCAGCATGTTTCTCCCTGTACATCAGCCGCTACACTCGAGTGTACGGCATCATTGGCTGCACGTCTTTCGCTGGATCTGTCGCCTTTGTCCTGGGCATCGATTGTTTCAGTAAAGCCGGACTGAAGGAGTTTTGGATGTACATCTGGAGTGAGTCTCTGCGTTATTCGTATCGTCGACAAAACTGACAACAAGCAGATCTGAACGACGACGTTTTCCCCCTTTTCACTGATACCTACCCAATCAATCGTAACATGAGAGCGGAACTCGCGGCCATCATTATCGTTGCATTTCTCGGAACGTTGTCTCAAATCAAGATCTGGAAGATCGTGAAGGAGCAAAAAGCAAAACGAGAGGCCGACCGGCTTCGCGAGCAAGAGCTTAGAGATGCAGAGGAGGCAGAAGTCGGACGAGACATTGAGACTCGGGTGGCCATCGACCGCGCAGCGTGGGAAGGCGATTACGATGGTAAGAAGAAGGCACCAACGGTACATATCGGCTCGGCATCGGCATCGACGGACAACATTGTTCGCAAGGACAGCGGCGCGGACAGCTATAACACCTCCAGAAAGGATGACGAAAAACGATTCTCTTTCGCAATGGTCAACATGCGCCCAGGTACCAGAGATAGTATTGGCAAAAGGTCGTCCATGTCCAAACGGAAGTCGACCGCAAGCTTTGACTTTCTTTCGGGCTCGTCTAGGCGACCTTCGGTTGTGCCTAGTTTGCCGCCGCTCACATTTGGAGATGGCGGTGCGAATTCACCGCTAACCCGCTCTCCATCAATGACTGCCGGCCCGTCAACGCCAGGCCTTGGCATCAGTGGTGCCGGTGCTCTTAAGGACCGAAGTCGAATTTCACTTGCCTCAGCAGCGCAAGAAGCTGCACCGCAACAAGAAGAATGGGAACCTGAAGAAGATGACCTGGCGTCATCTGTTGCGGCCACTATGGCCGAAGGCCCAGACATGGATGCTTTCTCCACAAAAGCACTTTCTCGACCCGGATCCTCTTACTTTCCTTATGGATCTGGGTCATCGCCGTTGAACTTGCAGGAAGAGTTCATTGAAGACAATGACGACGAAGCGTTGTGTTTACCTCAAAAGACCCCGAGCATTGGCGGTGCATCGAGTCGACTCTCGGTCGGCCCACGAACGCCGGGCACACTAGGTCGATCGCCTTCTATTGGAGCAGACAGCAGCACGACACCTAGAGAGCCAGTTGAGCTCAAGGACAAGTTACCAAAGCGGATATCGAAGGCCGCACAAAACTACAGGACGGGCGAATGGGCCAAAGAGGTCACCCGAGCTGAGCCGGAACCTCTCGAAGAAGTGCCGCAGCACACGCTTGATGCTGTTCAAGTCGAAATGGACGACGCCGCAGAAAAGGCCAGAGCTCGAGAAAACAATGCGTCGCCACTACCGCCTCCCGTACCACCTCTTCCTCAAAAGGTAGCTGAGCCTTCGAAGGCGGAAAAGAAGATCAGCCAGCGCCATTCTCACACTCCATCAGGAGGCGCTGCGGTACCGATCTATGCTCATGCCTCCACAGCAAGCCATGCGGATTGGTCGACACCTTTGGCGAAGAGGACGAGTAGTAATCCTGCTCTAACCTCTGCACCAATGATTGACGAAGAGCGTAAGGTATCCGCACCTCTGCTCGAGCAACAACCACAACAGCCACCTCGTGACTTCTTTCCTCCAACGCTCAAGCCGGACCGCAGTTCGCAGGTGCCAAATAGGCTCTCCCTGATGCCCGGCCGGGCCACTCCCAATCTACTTGATGAGCGTCGTGAGCGGCTATCAAACCGGGTAACAACCACTTCCTTCATGGCTTCCACACCTGAAGTCATCATCGAGACAGCTTCGACCTTGGGAGGCAGCAAAAGAGAAGGCTCCACTGGAGGCAAGAGCTCAGCAACGTCACTGTCCGACGGAGTTGCCATCGATGAAGAAGGAGCTGAAGATATGACACTAGCGGAACGAAAAGCACTCGTCCAGCAACAAGCCATTCTCTCGCCGCAAAATGCTTCACAGGCCCAATTGCCACTGAACACTCGCATGTCAGCGCAAACCCTTCGCAACTCGATGGTGCCAGCGCCTCTGGTCAACGCAATTCCCGGTTCGAGCACAATTCCGGCTCCCAAACCTGCTCGAATTTCTTCCTCAGGAACTCAGCAACCAATTTACGATTCTCACCAGCCCCGACGAACGTCACACAACGCGAACAAGCAAGCCATGAACTGGAGTGCTTGGCTATCTAGCAACGCCATTGCAACGAGCTCGAGGAATTCATACAACCATGCTGATTCACAAATGGATATGTTGCGAGCAGCAAGAATGCAGAGCGAAGCAGAGACCAAAGCTCGAGAGCAGCGCAAAAAAGAGATGCAGAAACAGATCGATGTCCATATGAGAATGGGTGGAATGCACGACCGTCACCGAGAAGTTCTGGCAAGAATGCAGAACAAAGTCGACAAGAACATATGATGCACACTACTTACTGCACATGAACACAATGGCGCTAACGACGCGGACGGAAATGTTATGATTTTCTATTGGCACGCATACTCTACACCTTTGGGCATGAGGGACATGTCCAGTTCTTCTTTTGACTCTTTAACGCGATGGGAGAAGAAAGTGTTGATACCCATACCCCAGTATCATGATACCCAAGGACAAGGATTGTTTTTGGACCATACATGAAAGCACAGGAAAGGCAAAACATGATCCGTCCTTTTACTATTACACACTTAGTTGTACATGCATGTAATGTCTGAATCGGCGCATAATACTTTTTCAGAAAAGTAGCGTGATGGAAATGGAACCCAGGCCGTTTATGGATATGACTCTTTGACATTGTGCCTCTGCAAGATCCCATTTCATTTGTTTCCCTGTTCTTCATTATTTGGAACACCTGAACGCCTCGCTAATGCTCACTGCATCCCAACGTGAATTTGCTCTTCAACCAAGCCCAGCAGGCGGATTGCATGTCCTGTTTTCCACAGGCTGACCATTTCTTCCATCCATGCGCCTTTCAGCGTAGAAAAGAGCCCCTGGACCTTATGGCTGCCATGTTGTGCGCTCGGAAAATCCGAATTCCTTTCAGCTCATCGCTTTCCACCCTTCTTCTTGCTCGGAAACGCGACCTGGTTACGTGCGCGCTTGCGTGACTTCTTCTCTTGTCGTTGTGCTCTTGCTTCTTGCAAGCGCTTAACCTCTCGTTTGCTTCGAGTCTTTTTCGTGGGAGCATCCATTTCGACGTCTTCCGCCGCTGCCTCATTCTCCTTCGCCATCTCCTTTGCGCCTGCTTCGGCAATTGCGTCAGCATAATGTTCATCTTGCTTGTGACGATTCCGTAAATTGCGACGCACCTTCCTGCTCTATGTCCATCTTCTCGTCCTTGGGTGCTTTTGCCAGTGCGAGCAGCTTTGCGGAAAGTCGCTCATTTCGTGCCTGCTCAACGGGTCCAAATACCCGCTTCTTCAGCGCGGAATTGTTCTTCTTGATTCTGCTTGCTCTTGCGCTTGAACCCATCGCAGCGTCGAGTGTATTCTGCAGTGATGTAGACCGCAAGAAAATAATCGAAATCGATATGCAGGTCGGGCGGCAGCAGCCACAAGCGCGGCCGATTGCCGAGATCACCGCCGGCGTCTGTGAGTGAACCGTGCTGCGTGCTGCGGGTTGCCTTCGATGTTCGCCGTTTGACTTCACCCGGCGAAGACACCAGACCGTGTGAGGTCGTACTCGAGCACTCTCATTGTGCGGCGTGACAATAGTCTGTGGACTTCACATGAGTTCAAGTTGTTCACAGATCGCCGGAACTGCGCTGGTCGTGCCTTCCTCGTCAATGCGTGCACACCAAATGTGAAGTCGGAGCCTTCCCTCTCTTTGATCCTCTGCACCACTCGCACTCCTTGTGATACACCGTCGACTACCCGATAAGCTGCTGGCACAGCGCTTTCAGTACCCCTCGCCAGCACCGAGCTGAGCGCCAAACCTACGACTTCATATCGACCGCACGCCATATCCTTCCTCGAGTCATCGCAAATCCCCCACTCCGGCGAGAGCGCTCCGAAGCGCACAGCAATGGCATCTGGCGGACATGTGATGCAGCAGCAGAGAGGGTCTGTAGAGGCGCGCATCAAGACTCTGGTGAACAACGACTTGAAGGAAATATGCAAAGCGTACAATTATCAAGTCTCCGGCACCAAGGCCATATTGCAGGCCAGATGCACTGACAGTGAGATCCACCGCCGTCACTTGGAAAGTCTGCAGGTCGTGTGAGCTTTCTGACACTCGTGAGTAGTCTTGAACACCATCGTCAAGCGAGGCGATCAGACCGAATTCGACATCTTCAACCATCGAGTGGGCAACCACGGTCAAGCCCCGCTACGAGCGTCGCAACCTTCCTCCTCAGCAACGTATTCACACTCCAACGGTACCTCGCAACAAAACAGCCAAATGCCGCCAGGCGGTCGACAGGCGCTGTATGGCGGCCATAAAATCCCCATTGGAGGTCGAAGTGAGCTCACGACCTGGTATTGGACGATGCGCGCATTCGGCTAACTGCAGCGCAGATCCATTCAAATCGAGTCCATTTTATGAAGGCCACGAAGAAGTCCTGCCGCTCAATGATCTACCTGGTAAATATCTTTCCCGCCCCTCCATGCTTCAGTTTTGAGCGCACTTACGATGGAAACTTACAGATGGCCCTACAGAAATGCCACAGAACAGGCATACCGTGCGATCCAATGTGACCCTCACTCAGGATCAAGTGAATCGCATGAAACTAGATCCCAACCTCAAGCTTCTGATGTACTGCGGCACTGGCATCTCTGCATACGGCTATGTCGACGTTGCCTTCCCGAATCAGCTTGAGGTGAAGATCAATGGTGATGACGTTCGCGCCAACTTCAAAGGGTTGAAGAATAAGCCAGGATCGACAAAACCGGCCGATATCACCGACAAGGTTAGGAAACACGGTGGCTATCAGAATCAGTTGTCTATAACATACGCACTGACTCAGAAGCGGTTCTCATTTGCGGTATATCTGGTGAAGTACGTTTCAGCCGATGCATTAACAGAACGCATCAAGCGAGGACAGCACGGCGGTGGTATCATCACGAAGCAGACTGTCCTGAACGAAATGAACAAGGCCAACGCGGATCCGGACATCGCTGCAACCTCGGTACGAATGTCACTGAAAGATCCAATCTCGACGTTGCGCATCACACTGCCAGTGAGATCGACGAACTGCTCGCACAATCAGTGCTTTGATGGATCAATGTTCATGCACCTGCAGGAGCAGGCTCCACAGTGGTCCTGCCCTGTGTGTTCGAAGAGCGTCTCCTTCCAGAGCCTCTGCGTTGATAAGTACTTCGAAGAGATCCTGCAGCAGACGCCAACTTCGGTCGAGAAGGTGGACATTGAACCAGATGGACAGTGGCATATGCTCAAAGAAGAAGATTCACAGCCGAACGGTCATTCTAGTAGAGGTAAACCCGCACACTACGATGATGACTTCGATGACGATGACATCGTGGAAGTCAGTGACCCGACTTCAAAATCACGACCTACGAACGGCGTTCCCATCGGCAATGGCTCTACTCCTTCGTTACTGTCACCGATGCCTGGTTCTGGCTTCGCTATCAATACGCCGCCTTTGTCATCAAGAGGACCGTCCGCAGCACCTTCGACCACATCGGCACAACAGAGCAACAAGCGCCCTGCGAGCGCGGTGATCGACTTGACACTTTCGGACGACGACGAGCCTCCAAGGCCGGCCAAGAGGCAGTCCACAAATACGAGTACGCATCATGGCACATCCACACAACCTTACAGCACACCCAATTCTTTACCCGATCCTCGTCCTACTTCGTACTATGGTGGTCAGGCCTATGTTGCTGACAGCTATAGACAGCCCGTCAGTAACACAGCTAGACCGCCCAGTAGCCACGCTAGGAGCAGCGCTGCGCCCGACGACTACGGCAGCACCTTCGGCAACACCAACTTGGCCACCAGGACGGGATCTCCTTTCCGCCTTGCCAGCAGCTCTAGTCCGTCCTTTCCGATCACCAGTAATACGAGCAACAACTGGAGCCAATACTCACGACCATCCACTGGTCAAGAGTCCGGAAGTGCCTCCGCCGGTCCCACCTTTCGGCCTTTTTCTATAAATCCACCACCCAGCCAGCAGCAGCAGCAACAGCAGCACATACGACTGCCGCCGATACAGTCGCATCCATCGAACGGTTACGCAGGTGCTTGGCGAAGTGATCAAAATAGCAATTATTCGCATAGTCCTCCGGGGTGAGAAGAAAGTGATGCAAAAAGATCGATTCAGCAGGCATATCGGATGAAGCAGCGAAAGACAGCGGGACAGATGAGATGATGCCTCCAAAGGGTCACGAATGGTACATACTAGCGAGGAGTTTGGAGTTCTGCTTTCAGCAACGAATGCTGGCGTAGATAGGGAGATACGATGGGACGGGAAAGTGCATTTTGCTGGTGTGCCTGTCTACATACATAGCTGAAACATGGCTGCACGTTCATCGGCGCGTATCGCATCGCTCATGGATCTTCCCTGCGTCTCACCGTAGAATAACATGTGACTCGAAAGTTTGCCAAGCAGTCTGTGCTGCGTTGGTCAATAAATTGCGGGCAGCTTTCCTCTCCTCTCGCAATAATTTCCGACACCTCCATCTTCACTCACACATCTCCTCGTCATAACACGCGCGACGCGTCTTTCTGTGCTCAGTCTCTGCAAACAACTTCCCCTACTTCACGAACACTTCTGCCAGTTGCATTCTTCGCATCTCTTCCTCCGCTTAATAATGCCACTACCCACCTTCCTACGCGCTCCGGACTCACCGCTCCTCGAGTCGATGGCCTCTGTCTTCTCCGCGCTGGTCACATAATGCAAGGCCGACACCGACGCCGGCGTGTATGCTCGATGATCACGCGTTTCAAGCAGACTACATTGCTCTTGGAATCGGCATCTCCTTTGCAGCTCCGTGCTGTTCTCTGGCTACACACTCACAGGCGGAGCGTTGCACGCCAAGCTCACGGCTGGCCTCAGACTTCACCACTGTCCAACGAGTTGATGCCGGCCCTGTCTGCAGCTCCATCGTCTCCAGGCATACATCTCTTGCCGTGGCGCCGCTAGTGACCTGATGTCTTCGATGACTGCTGCCTTCACAGACTCGCCTCCAGCTCCGACCAAGGACGCTGCGTGGGCCACTCTCTCAAGGTTACCTTGCGTCATCACAGATTCACGTCCGTTCCCGCAGCCCGCAAGAGCAACGCCAACAGCTTTGGACTGCACCTCTTCCTACGCATCTGGCAGTAGCAGAGAGTATGTTGCTTGCGAGCGCTGGTAGCTGTCTGAATTGAACGAGGCTTTCGTTACATTGCGACGGCAATGTGCAACTACGACGGTAGTACACCTCAATCAATTTTCGTTACAGCTGTCGAACTCCTTGAACATGTGGCCACCTCTCGCTGCGCGCCTCGTCCTGGCACCCTTCTCGCCCACTTCAGTAGCGGTCCATGGACACGATGCCGTGTTGCCTGCACGACACCCAAGGCAAACATGTCGCAGCATCATGCAGCTGCTAATGTTTCATTGTCCTCCAGATACATACGCTGTCAAGAACGCAAACCGTCTTAAGCTTCAAGAATGAGCAAAGATTCACACCCGTCTCCCTCATCACAAGCAAGACGCAGAGGTTGCCAGCGAGTACACGGAGAAAGACGTCACTAATCATGCACGCCGAGCAAGAAGATGTCAGTCGCCGCCGTCGGCCAGAAAGCTGAGCAAAGGCAGATGTAAGCAAGTCGCCGCCCTGAGAAGGCAGAACTTTGCACCTTGCCGCCAGCCAAATAGCTGAGCCGTACAGACGCCGAAGGCCGAGCTGAGCAGGCGTCAGTCTGACAGAGCACAAGCCAGAAGGCGCAGCTGAATAAGGCGCCGATCTACTAAGCATCGCCGGCTGCATGAAAGGAAAGGATTTTCGAGTCACCCAACCGCCCCGCGTTAAGCCTGTCAGTAAGATCTGCTGTGGTGTCAAAGCAGGCCTGAATAAGACGAGGAGCTTACAAGCTAGGGCGGTTGAGGATATGATTTCGATTGTCTTCGAGATGAGCTCTTTGCGAGAAGGCCTCTCCGAAGTGAGTTCCAGTGTCTAGACTTGAATGCATTTCTACGAGCGTGCATCGTCTGGAGATCTCATTACGGCTCCTGTTCCCACGCAGGCATGTCCGGATGAGCCTCGGGTGCCCAAGAACGCGCCATGCTGAACGACTTTCTTCAGATTGACAGTGCGACGGAGGCCCGCCCTCAGATAGCCTGTCTTGATGGAGTTGGTTGGAGTGTGCGCACTGGCAAACTTCAGGCGGTGTGTACGGGGGCAGAAGTCAACGTACGGTGGTCGCCAGACCATCCAGCGCTGTGATGTACCAAGTCGGCAACGATTTAGTGATTCAAAGATCAATGATTCTACAGAGAGTCGTGTTGGACCTGCAAAGGGTTCGATTCCATTTTGTTCAAGAGCTTCGACCGCGGCAGCATACTTCCGGATCTTCGAACCACGAAATCCCGCGGTGCCTTTCGGGCCGTGAAGAGGTCGTCGCGTTTGAGGCTGGAACCCTGCCATAGGTCAGGCTTTCAAGGCTTCGAATGTGGTCGTTCTCCAGCTCGACATGCGGTCAGGAATATCGGGTGCTTTGAAAGAAGCGGCGAGACACCTGATCACGTGTTGTTAGGCGGAAGCCATCATGTTCAAGCCATCATTCATGGCTACGGCTCTGGATATGACACTTGCCTGACCTGCTGCGAATACAGCGCTCGCCGAAGCCATGCTTTGGATGGGCCTGTTTCAGCACGGACCAAGGGTGTGGAATAATTCAGGACGAGCCTCATCAAGTTTCGGCTGAAGAGGTGACTCTTGCGCGACATGACACCGGAGTAGGTGCTCATTGTTGGAGTTGAGGGTCGCATCGAAGTCAACAATTTCAAACTTCACCGAGAGATCTGACGCCTGCGAAGCGGCATCAGAGATCCTGGGCTGTTAGCTTTCAGCGTGATCTGTTGTTGCTCGTGGTTGCTATTGTCAGTCTCGGAAGTCAGTTTTTTCAAGCTTCGACTGAAGATCTGATGCCTGTCTGTCCTGACCGGTCGCAGGACTTCACAGTGAGCTGCAGATCACTGTGGAGGATGGTTGACCGTGACGATGGCCGTGGATAAGGATTCGACATGTCAAGCTATCATCTCGACTGGTTCGATGGCGCTGTCTGACACCAAACTTGAGCTTCGTGCTCTGTCTTGGGAGAGGACATACGTCTAACGACTTTGCTCTGATTTCATCTGAGCTGGTTAGATGGCGCTGTATGGCACTGAACGTGACCTTTGGGCTCCGGGCAGCAAAAGACGCGTTTGAAAACTTCGCTTTGATTTAAATAGTTTTTGGTCAGGTCAGAACGGGTCTTTGGGACCGCAAGAGGAGGGCATCAGATGTTTTGGTCCCAACCAGAGCACTGGAGCCCGCAAGCACAGTCCACAACATCCTGCCCGACAGTCCTCGAAAACGTCCTCAACATCCTCCGCAGCTGAAAGGCGACCAATTACTCGTCCAAGCAGAATCATGAACCATAAAATACCGCCCCCCGCGCCCTCGCAAATGCTCGCCAATACTACGGTTCAGAACCCCATCGCTCAGCTCTTCGTAATTCATATTCCCTTCACTTCCAGAGCAGTGCATCCAACGCTCTGGCGAACGGGACCAGGTGTTCAGTAAGTTTCGAAGAGTCGTGGAAGCGCTGACATTTACAGGTGTCCAGGAATCATCTGTAGCTCCGCGAACGTAGACTGTGTAATGCTGTTCCGTGTCAGTGCAAAGGAAATGGCAAGGCGGGTGTGGGGAGGAGGAGCGCCGTATGTCTCGACACATTGGATCGATTTGATTGCCATCGTGGAAAGCGCCGCGCAGTCTGGAACGCACGGATTCTCGCTGGCGGACGATTTCTGATTCGAACCGTTTTGGCAAATCTTCTGAAGGTCTTGCTGCTGTCTGCCATTTTTCTTCGTTTCCGGGTAAATTATTGGTGTCGTGCAGCTCTGCTTCGTGTGATCGATGCTTGCGAAGTCCTGGGACATACATGACGTTTGCAGCACGAACGCTTTCTCGGTCGTGGTCTGGTTCTGGACTACACACAAGAAGAGCGGCGAGTCGTGTGGGATTATAGATCGGCTTGCAAGATTTCGTGTTCACGACATCTTCCACGCTCGTGCCACCTTGTGCGTTCAAGAACGTCGCAAAGATGACATTCAGCTTGTCTGTGGGCAATGCAAGGACCGTTGGAGTTCCAGACCCAGGGAATAGACATTGTGGCAATACGGGTTAGAAGCAGGACGGTCTTCGTAAGAGGCTGTTCGTTTTCAGTCACTGGGAGATCCTGTACACTCTCAACTTCGATCAAATATCGATCGCATCGAGATCGCGAGGTCTACCGTAACCGCGATGCGACTCTATCAAGATCCCATAGATCAGAGATCGGCTATACTAGTAGTCCTCGGAGAGAGACCCTCCATAAATAAGCACGAACACTATCTTCAAGGCAAACCACCACAAATGTCCCACACAATCCGCCTCACCTCTGATCCTCACCGTTCGGTGAAGCAAACCGCACAAGAAGGCCTCCTCTCCAACTCCGACCCCAACCCACCACCTCCAAAACTCCTCACCGAACATCCATTCCCTCACACCAGCGCCAAAATCTCTCTCGCACTCACACCCCACCACCGAAACCCAGACTCTCCACTTTCCACCAACAGTCCCATCCTCCTGCCTAGAACATTTCATCAGATCTATGTACGACGTCAACAAGAAAGCATCTGGTATTGGGTCCATGTGCCGAATTTTACGATCGCGGATCTCGTGGATTCTGTATCTTCTGGTGGGAATTCGCGTGTGGCGATTGTGCGTGGATGTGTGATTGAGACGGTGATTGAGGATGATTTGAGAGATGTGCCGTTGAGTCGGATTCGAAGTCGATTGGGGATTTTGGAGGAGGGGGATTTGAGGTTTGCGTTGTATGAGGATTTGGAGGGTTGAGATGTTCGAGTTTCCTGGAACGTCTTCTGTCAATCGTCTGAGGCTTATCTTTTGGGAAACTCTTCGCACGTGGCCTGGGAGCGAGCATTGCCGAAAGATGGTCGCTGTGACTGCTGTATGTCAGTGAAATCTCCGTCGTTGTGCGCGGGACACTACGATTTCCATAAATCATGACATTCGCACGAGCATTGCCCTAATTGTAGCAGCTCTCGTCCTAAGGGTATGATATGTACAGAATGCCACAGCCTCACCGCGCCTGCGCTCGTGTCCTAGTTCCTGCCCTCAATGAAACCTTGGATGAAGTTCTTCGGTAATCTCGCTTTCGGCTCTTCTTCTGCGCGGAAGTATTTGAGGACGTGTGTAAGTTGCTTCCAGAAATTGAGTGTCTCCTGCGAGAAAATGTCAGAGCTGGCTCTACGCTCATTTCCACGTCTGCGTTACAGGGCTTCTAGGTGCCTTGAGGAATTGCTGACGTACCTGAAATTCCGAGTGGCTGTTGAATAGTAGCACGTCCACCGTTTTCAGTTGGCTGACGTATCTATGTCTTTCGTATTCTTGTCGTATCTTGGTCCGTATCGCGCTTACTGGCATATTCAGGGAGTACATAGTCTGGACTTCCGGAGCCTGCGGGAGTGAACATAGGTCAGCTGTGGCTCCGGAAAATATTGAAGCGTATCGATCATTGTCTTGTGGCCATGGCAATCTTCACCAGCTTTTCCCTCCTGCCGTTTTGTCGTCTTGATCCCGCACGTCCATGCGCCCCGCCTCCCGCCTCTTGTACCAGACCATTCTCCGCCCAGCTCTTTGTGATCCAAATATTCATGTCACTCCACAGCGGACTGCTTTCTGTACGTACCGCTCTCAGCCAGTCTCGGTAGCTGGCCAGCACTCTTGTCTTCGCATCGGCCCAGGTTTTGGCTGCTCTCTGGTCAGTCTGTGGCCCTTTCACAACTGTTCATGGCATCAGCATACACGAGCGCGTGCGCTGCGCGAGATATGTCGGGTTGATGACCATTTTCACTGCCTGTGGTGCGCTACATCCACAATCGTTCAAACCCAATGCTCTCCGAGTGATGTTCGAGATCAAGATGGCAAGTTCGGTAAGAGCCGCAGAGCTTACTTGATCGCTCACAATTGGTTCGATATTGGTTGGCGCTAGCCAAAGTCTCGCTTGGCACTGTTCGTTCACTCATGCACTCCTGCTTCTCTCTCGTTGCACATACACATTGACAACCACGTCCTACTTTTCCGCCCGTATCGCCTGACAGCAATACGAAGGATCGCACCATGTTCATCAACATCACGCGTTTTGTGTCGGCCGCCACCGCACGTGGCTCTCTAGCCGTCTGGAACCATCGCTAGTGTCCTATCCTCAACACTGGACCATTGCGTTTCATTCATATTGCCTGGCAGGACGACGTCTATATTTCGAGCCGACTCACTCATGTTTTCCTGAATGCCAAGTCTACCGTGCGGCCGCGCATGGCAATTCAAATAGCATGTATCCGCCTTTCAGACGAGATGTGAGTCGCGCATTCACAAAAGTTCTAAGCCCAGTTTTTCATTCTTTTCACAATGGCATTGCGTGCCGCTTCGTTCCTTATGTCTGCTGCTGCGCTGGTCGCTGCAGCTGATCCTTCGCTCAATCTGAAGACCTACGTCGATGCTGTTGATCTGGACGCGAATTCCAATCCTATCAAGGAGGCTTATTGGACTGGACTTCCACACCATCGCCGCACGCCATTTGCTGTGTCTCCAGATGGCAAGACAGGATTCGTCGCCTACCTGGATGCAAGTGGCAGCGGTGTCCACGTTCAGCATGTCGATCCATCAGCATTCACTGCCACTGGAACTGCAGTAACTGTCGATGCGGTTCAGGAAGCCGGGGGTCTGGTAGCTCATAACGATGGCTTCGCCCTGCTTGCAAATGAGCCGATTGCCACCACGGTTGAAAATGCTCCCCCAAGCGGCACTCCAGTACCTGCAATCTATCGCTACACCAACGGCGAGCAGACCTTCAAGACCTTCGTGGCTGGCCCTGGTGTGCACGAGGAAGCAGGTCTGTCTATGAGTCCTGACATGAATGGGGATCTGGTTTGGTCCGACGAGGCTGAGCTGTACGGCGCCTACTTCGTCGTCACGGATTACACTGGAGATGCAGAAGGTCATTTCGGCGACAGCATCCAATACATTAACAGCAATGGAACACTTGAGACCATTGATGGCGCTTCAAGCTCCTGGGGGTGCTCGCACAACACTAGTATTGCGTTCGAGGCAGCAGAAAAGGCACCATTCGCCAGCATCTGTACTGAGGACCAAGGTGCTATCTGGCTGAACACCAACGGCCAAGGCATGCATAGCACCGGTGTCAAAGTCTCAAACGAAAACACCACAAACGGTGCCGGAGGTGAAGCGATGGGCGGCATGTCTGGCTCGTATTCTGGTCTTGCAAGATTCGCCAACTCTTCATCATACATCTTTGCCTGGGTCTCGCGTGGTGCAGTCGACCTCGCTGAGAACGCGTGGATGGGTGAAGGATACACGAACTGCCAGAACCGTACGAATGGACGCCGCGTTGCTATCGCTCTCTTCTCAGACAAGGAGACCAAGGTTTCAGCCCAGGCAAGCTCTGAAGTTGGCGCAGCAGATGGGGACAGTCAAGTCAATTGCTTCACGCCCACAGAAGGCCCAGATCGAAGCAATGCTCACGTCGCTGTTTTCGACGACCAGTACGCTTTGGTCACTTGGGAGCAAATCGACGAGCCTTCTTGCGACTTCATCGCCATGGGTTGCAGCGGAACTCTCAGCGGGTCATATTTCCAGCTCGTCGACAGCTCTGGCTCCAAAATTGGCAACCCGGTGGTAAGCAACAATACGTATTTTGCTGGAGATATGGTCACAATGAACGACGGCAGCATCTGCTGGCCATACGTCAACATGGAGTGGAGTCTCGATGCACCTTCGGGATGGGGCGGTGAGTCGACTGCTGCCAATGTCACGAAGATGAGCTTTGCTTGCATGAGTCTTCAGTAGATTAGAAACGTGACAAGGCGAGGAGTCTGACTGCTGGATGCAATTGTTGAATTCATCAATGTACACTATCGAGACTACAGCTGTATTTTTCCCAAATAACGCAAAGCATGCCGGTCGGTCTTTATTCACTGTGCTCGCACCCCGGACGCCTCTAAACTTTGACTGCTCGAGCTTCCTTTTGAGGACAAGTAATAAGTTCCTGTGCATGCGTGGCGCTGTGGAGGCGTTTCGGGCCTTTCGGCTCATGAGACGTGGGTTGGCAAAGCGGGAGCCATGTTTGCGCGCGGTGCGTTGTTGCTGCTTTCTTAATAAGAATAATTCTCATTTTCTATCGTCAGGTGAGGCAGATGTATCGAGTTCTTTGCCTGCAGTGCGATCGCTAGGGCATCCTGGCTTTGCTCGTAGTACCTGAACTACAGGTAGTAGTTCCTAGCTCCTCTGTGCGGAGAAGGATCTCTGGAACTGTTGATCTTTTGCTAAAACAGGAATCGAAAAGTTGCTGTAGATGTATGCGGAACAATTGCGATGTCTTATGAAAGCATTCCGGGTCTGCTGTTCTGCTTAGCTGTACACGCCCTGCGCGGAGATTGAGAGTTTGCGGAGGACATCATATTTGTACCTCAATAGCTCGAAAGTATCAGAAGGGCATGTGCCAGCCAGTGTCCATCATGGTGCAAGTTCAGGTGAACAAACCATCATGAGCGGAAACACTTCCTATACTTTGCGCACGTCCGACGACTTGCTCATTTGCAACGAGTGTGGCGCTCAGTATGACGTGACTGCGGATTCGGGCAAAGATGAATGCAAGATATGTGATGATCCAAGACAATATGTTCCTGCTGAAGGGCAGGTCTTTACAACTTTGGGAAAGCTGGAGGAGCAAGGCCATAGGAATGAATGGTGGCAAGACAAGCAAAATCCAAAGATCTGGAGTGTGAAGACTTATCCACCCGTAAGTCATTTCTAGCAGCGTGTTGAGAGGAATTGGTGTTGACTCGCTGTCCAGTTCGCGATCGGTGAACGCGCCGAACTGATCCAGACTCCAGCTGGAAATATCCTCTGGGACCTAATCACATACCTTGATCAAGGCACCATAGACAAGATCGTCTCTTTAGGTGGACTGGCGTGCATCGTCATAAGCCACCCTCATTACTATTCGACTTGGTCCGAAGGGTCTCGCACTTCCAGTGTCCGGTCTATGTCGGCGAACCTGACAAGATATGGCTTGAGCGGGCAGACTCTCCTGGCGCGGGTATTCGATTTCTGGCGGAGACCTATACGGACGTTTTGCCCGGATCTGGCGCGACTGCGATTCTGGCTGGAGGCCATTTCCCTGGTAGCCTTCTGTTACATTGGAAGAAGACTCTGTTTATCGCGGACACGATCTTTACGAGCCCGAGTGCTACAAATCCTGTGCCGGGCAAAGATGGAGTGTTCAGTTTCACGTTCTTCTGGAGGTGAGCAGTACCATCTCCAACAGCGCTTGGCTAGGATGATGGTGGTCTAGTTTCACCTTAGCAAGACGTCTCCTCAAAACACCCGACGTCTGTGAGAATTTCATTGTAGGTGCTTTGCCCCACCCATCTGGATCTTCTGTTGTCATTTCTGCTAAGTCTCTTATCTCTGTGTCGATCCAGCTGACTGGACCGCAGCATACCGAACCGCGTTCCTCTTCACCCGGACGACATCGTCAAAATCTGGCGTGCGGTCAAACCACTCGAGTTCAATACCTGTATCGGCGCGTTCAAGGGGCAAGATGTGTACACACAGCCCAATGAAGCATCAAGAGGTACGGGCGGTGTGAAAGGGAGGCTCCTCGAGAGCTGTAAGATCTACGTTCGTGCTATGGGCTGGACGAGCCATGTGCTGCTGGAGGAGACGTTGTGATTCGCAGAGTCGATGTCGTGCGATGGGTGCAGCAGAATATGCAATGCTGGGGGCGGCGATCTGATTCGCGAGGCTGATGATACCAACAATCTACCAAGACTGCAAGACAAGTGTAAGTTACATCTATCTGTACCAGCGGAGAGATGCGAAAGAAGCGTAGGCAGATGGTGTTGGATGTAGCAGACTTTTAGCGTGCAGGGTTGTTGTCGATTGCTCACATTTTACGGACATACTCGGTGGTGGTAGAGTCGATAATTAGATCGAGATATAGCCGGTTTTGCTAGCTAAATCGGGCATGCCGAGGACTCGTCAGTCGCCAACTTTATATCGTAGTAGTTAGTCGTTATATCGACGAAGAAACAGCTATATAGCTATATAAAAGGTGTTATTAGCAGTTAGGTAGGCAAATTCTACGCTCTTTAATCTACGCTCTTTAATCTACGCTCTTTAATCTACGCTCTTTAATCTACGCTCTTTAATCTACGCTCTTTAATCTACGCTCTTTAATCTACGCTCTTTATAATAGCTTATTTAATCCCCTCTTGCCTTAATATATTACTACGTTCTTAGCTCTTTAATCTACCTTTAAATAGCCTATTCTTAGATATAGACAAATACAACAAGGTATAGCTATTTGCTAGCAACTTCTAGTACTAGAAGCTATAGGAGAGGCATAAGGATAGCTTAATATAGCGAATAATATACTATTGTCGTTATCGGTAGGATACTAATCGGCTACGCGAGTTGCTAGATAGTATTCGGAAGGTAGAGTTCTATAAGGAAGGGTATAATGCGATATGTATAGTAATTGCTATATATCGCTCGAAACAGTATAAGGAGCCTTATATATATAAGGTCGCTTCTTCGTCCCCCGATTCTAGTACCGAGGCGGGCTCGCTATATTGCTATTCGATAGATTATATAGTAAGTTTGGTAGTATTGTCTCTTAAGTCGATAGCAGAGGCCTAGTTAGAAGCTAATAGTTAGTAGGACGTACGAGGTGCTAGTAATAGCTTAAAGGTCGTTCTCGAGTACTTAATAGACTAATACGACTATAATATAGCTTATATATTCTATTTAATAAAGGAAGGTCGTAATACTAACCGCTTTGCCGTTATTAGAGGCTATCGTATAAAGGAAGGTATAATAAAATAGTCGAAGAAGAAGGACAAGAAGAAGGTAACCTTTGCTAAGAAGGGCAATATCTCCCTCTAACTCGAGAACCTATATAACGAGCTATCGCTATTAACTAATCTAGTAAACGGCGCTTAGTTATAGTATAAAGCTATATTAGTAACTATAGAAGGGCGCCTTTATAAGGGCATTATATAGCAGGCGGATTAGTAGAGGCAGTTGTTAGATAATAGATTAGCAGGAGATGTAAGTGTACTACTACTACTACCCCGCTTACGTAACTAGGCTATAGGAACCGCAAAGTAGCGACTAATCTAGGATTAGTTATTTCTCTACGACGTAACGCATAAGACTACTAATATAGGCTAGTATCTCTTTATAGTATATGTCCGCAATAGATTCGAAAGTTAGATGCTAGCTATATATATATTGCTATAAACACAGCGTGCGAGGCTTTAGTAAGCTGCTTTCCGAGTCCTAAAGTAGTAGTGCCCTCGCTAGAAGCCGAGGTTAGCTATAACTAACGACTCGGTATAAGAACAAGCGGCTATTCGACTGTCCTTCGACGAGGAAATACGACTATATCTCTGCTAGCGGCACGCTAAAGAGACCTTCCTTCGACACTTTCCTAAATTTAAGTACCCTATAGTCTAGAGACTATTTAAAAGAGCTATTTATTAGGCTCGGAGTAAGGCAGAGGTTAAAGAAGTTGTTACTATAATAGAAGCGGAGTTGCGGCTTCTTAATAAGCAAGAAGAGACTTAGTATTTACTAAAGAATTAGTCGTCGGACAAGTTATAGAAATAGGCTATATAGGCTCGTTTAAACAATCCAGTCCTTATACAAATACGTACTACATTGCTACTAGAAGGATACTATAATGCTATTAAATACGACCGGAAGAAGGACCTCCCTTAGTTAACGATATATAGTACTATAACTAAGTTACTAACAATCGACGCTCGACAACTATATAAGGCGGACCTTTAAAGCTATAGAATTAGCAAACGTACGCAATATTAGAAGGTTAAAGAGATGCTATACTTCGAGGAGTTAATACCTCCTACTATATAGGACTTCGTTAGGAAACAACTAGCTATTACGGAAGAATATAAGGCTAAGGCATTGCTACTATACGACGGCCTTGTATTGTATCGTAATAGACAACTGCCTTACTGCAATTGCCTTCCTTAGTTCTAGCAGTATTTGCTATGCTACTATATACTAAGACACTACCTATTTGTAACGCCGCTTACTTTATAGCAACAACAGCTCTACGTTAGTTTCTACTATAGCTTTAATAGTATAGAAATCAGTTAATACTAGCGGCAGCGAGATAGTACTACTCTCTTCCTTAAGGGCTTCGAAGAGACTTAATATACTGCTAGCGACCCCTATTTTCGTAACCTTCGCGCTTACTTTAACGAAGGTATAGAAGGCCTCTTATAGCACTTCTATGCGGTCCGTAACGATAAGACTATCCGTAATAGTACGCTAAAGGACAAATATATAAGAAGCTTCTTATAGCGTATTAAAGACACGCTTACTTAGCTAGCTAACTTCTTACTAGATAACTTCCTTCGAGAAGGTGCGCCTAAGGTTTAATTAACTAGTAACCGACAGCGATAGTAGACTTAATAATAACTTCTACCTAAACCTATTACTCTAACTCGCTAGCAATTGCCTCGGTATCCGACTCTTCTACTACTACTACTACTACTACTAGCGACTAAATATAGACCTCGAGCGTTTAACCTTCTGCGGCTTAATAAGACGCTCTTATTACTAACGCGCCCTTATATTGTCGACTTTCTTACGCCGAGTCCGCTACCCTTTAGACTCTTACCTTCGAAGCTGCCGCTACTATAGTAGCCGCGCGAGTCGCTATTATCTATATAATCGGCTTAGCCGCTCGACTTAGACACTATCGAAGAAATAGCCGAGCTTGTAGACCTTACTTCGCTAGTAGGAGCCGCTTCGCTATTAAAACAAGACCTAGAAGCAGTAGAAGACTTCTCTTAGTTAGATAATAATAATGCTCTACGAGAGGTAGTAGGTAAGAGGCGGACTTCTAATAAATATAGTAGTAATAGCAAGCGTAAGCGACTAAAGGCGGCGACAATACTACGAGCTATTAAGAGGCCGAAGAAGAAGTAGTAGATAGTAACAATACCTTAGAAGCTACTATAACAGCCTAATTAGGCAAGCCGAGCCTATACATAAAACCGAGCATTTCCGTAAGCTTAGTAGGTCCTATCGTACGCCTAATAATCGGGCCATTTCCTAGCCGGAATGGTGGAGACAGTCCCGCAGGAACCCAAAGGAATGGGACGCTAAAAGTCTGCTACAATCAAGGCTATCTAGCGTAGGCGCAAGGTTTCGCTTGCGCGGCTACTTCCCGCCGCTTTAACGTCGTTTGGAGATTTCAGTCGACTCCGCCTTCTCCATCTTCACAACCGACTAATTATGTAACGAAATCAGCTGCAGTTGTGCCTCCGTGCACGACTCCAGGCGTTCATGTCGTGCTCACGCTGCTTCCGCGTGTTTTAATCAGCTAATGATTTGATGTTACAGCCGGTTTTCATCGGCGAAGTGCAACGCCAATACCAAGGCCGAGATTAGCAGCCTTCGATGCAGAACAAAGGCTTCCAAAGAACAGCCTCACAACGCCGCTTTGTTCGAAGGATCGCGGACATCTATCCCAGCGAGGATGGAGGTATCGAAACGAGATAAGCTACGATAAAGGCCTGCGCCGCACATTGGTTCGTTGCGCATTTCACGCGCTCGTGGTGTGCCAGCTCGTGGCGGACTTGGCGTGCCAATGTCTTGGTTCCAAGAGTTCTGCTCCTTCACCGGCTGGGCACAAAGACGGCGCAAGGGTCTGGCACCTGCGCCGCTTGCAGTAGCGGCTGGCGCTGCTGGTACGCTGCCAGATGCTCGTGGCATGTATAAATCCACAGCGATGGGCTTTGTGCTGCCCTCTCTGTCGCATTTCCTTATTCCTATCATTGTTATTGACGACAGAGTCCCTCGCGAGGATTCTTTACACCATGGCCGACGCCGAGAAGGCTTTCCAGCCTGCTGTCGACACCTCCGCATCGGACATCAGCCATGATGGCCAAATTACATACGAGGAGCAACCTCGATACCCACTCATGACCCGCTTGGGTTTATCTCCAGACTCGTTCAGAAAGCGACCTGTTTCAGACAAGCACAATAACCTCAACAAGACATTGAAAGCCCGTCATCTTAACATGATCGCCATCGGAGGATCGATAGGTGCGGGTTTGTTCGTCGGATCGGGAAGCGCTCTGCGCACAGGCGGCCCTGCTTCTCTGCTTCTCTGCTTCGGTATTATCGGCATAGTGAGTAGAAACCCATTGGCCAATGCAATTTTCGGCTGACATGGACTGCAGATGATGTTTAACGTCGTCTATGCTCTCGGTGAACTCGCCTACATGTATCCTATTTCTGGAGGCTTCTACACATACTCTGTCCGCTTCATCGATCCCGCATGGGGCTTCGCCATGGGCTGGAATTACGTCTTGCAGTGGGCCATTGTCTTACCTCTCGAACTCGTGGTTGCCAGCTTGACAGTCAACTATTTCTGGATAGACACGCCTGAAGAGACGCCAAACGTGGCAATTTGGATATCGCTCTTCATGATCATTATCGTGGTGATCAGTCTCTTTGGTGTCCTAGGCTATGCTGAGGAAGAGTTCTGGGTGTCATTGCTCAAGCTCTCGACAATCATTGTCTTCATGATCATGGGTATAATCTTCGCTTGCGGTGGCGGGCCTAGCAATGGACAATATTCAGAGTATTGGTAAGAAACCGTCGACTGGGCAGCACTCCAGTGTTCGAGACATGTGCTGACCTTTGACCTATTTTAGGGGCGCTCGCCTTTGGTACAATCCTGGTGCTTTCAACAATGGGTTCTTAGGATTCTGTGGTGTATTCGTCACTGCCGCATTCTCATTTTCTGGAACTGAGTTGGTCGGTTTGGCTGCAGCCGAATCTGAGAACCCACAGAAGCAACTCCCATCCGCTATCAAGCAGGTGTTCTGGCGAATCACCCTTTTCTATATCCTGGGATTGTTCTTCGTCGGTCTTCTGGTCCCATACGATGATGGTAGACTCCTTGGTGGCGACTACATCAACGTCTCTGCGTCGCCATTCGTCATCGTTGCCGACAACGCCGGCATCCCAGCATTCGGCACTTTCGTCAACGTTGTGATCATGACGGCAGTCGTCTCGATCGGCTTGTCCGGTGTCTATGGAGGCTCGCGAACACTGTGTGCTCTGGCCGAACAAGGCTATGCGCCACGCTTCTTCTCGTACATCGACAAGGCTGGACGTCCACTCTTCGCAACCATCTTCATCATCGCCTTCGGGCCAATCGCATACGTCTCGCTTGCCAGCTCCGGTGCTGTGGTCTTCGGCTGGCTCCAGGCGCTTTCTGGTCTTGCTGCCCTTTTCACATGGGGTAGCATCTGCCTGGCCCACATTCGCTTCAGATCTGCTTGGAAGTACCACGGCCACACTCTCGATGAATTGCCATTCCAGGCCATATTTGGTGTCTATGGATCCTGGGTTGGATTCATCCTTGTTATTCTTGTTCTGATTGCTCAGGTAAGCTCACTCGCTTAGTTGCCCCAGTTGCGACAGAAGGACTCCCGATGCTAACACACTTAAACAGTTCTATACCGCCGTTGCTCCAAAGGACGCTGAATCTTTCTTCTACTCCTACCTGGCCTTCTTCGTTGTGCTTTTGTTCTACGCCATTGGATACTTTTGGAAGAAAAAGGCATGGATGAAGACATCTCAAATTGATGTCGATTCCGGTCGTCGTGAGATCGACATGGAACTGTGGGATGAATTCAAGGCCAAGCGAGCTTCATGGCCAGCATGGCGCAGAGCTCTTGATAAGATGTTTTAGACACAATGTATAGGTTGGGTGGTATCTGGGTTGAGGATGTCTTGAGATATAGCATCCGAAACCCGAAGTTCATATGAATGAAGGATTTGGATTTTCCAGATTTATTTCCTGTCATCTTTACGCCGTGCGCGCTTTAAGTTCTTCACCTTCTTCTTTCAACCTTACAAGTGTCCATATCATCAAAGATCTGATCTCGCATCCCACCGGACCGGACGCGATTCCACGCGAGAAAAGCACAGGTACAACCAGACCTGCAGGCTCGGCAGGCAGCCAAGTCCTGGGCACTTGGCCTTCTAGTATACCTGCTGGATTTGGTTGGAGCAATCACGCGCTGAACGCAGGACGCGATAGACGTGACGGATACGCAGAAGTCATCAGCTACACTACACCATTGCCAGAGCTCCAACCTACTATCTCGCTTCCCAGCCATCGACCTCTAAGCAAGCCCTCAAGCTCTCGCCGCATTGCATGGCGCAATCTACACGTTATCGAAGACACGCGAGCATGTGGGTCAATGTGACGGCTCGGTCAAGGCCGAATAATATAAATACGATGCACTTCGCATGTCGCATGCATTCGGAGTAAGTAAGGTCTTGGAACGGAAGGTGTTCTGCCGTCGTTCTGGAAGGCAGTAGCCCAGCCTGCCCAGACATGAAGTAAGCACATCACGTTCGTAGACCCGAAGAGTAAGACGCCCATCCATCGGACCCTCGGGGTCGCTGGTATACATTCACTTGTGGTGGCTGCTGTCACGGCAATGGTATTACATGACGGGTCATTTATTATCCGAATGCGGTTAGTATTAAAAGACATTATTCATTCAGATAGTGCTACCAGAGATGTAAAAACCTTAGTAAACTAGTAAATAGTAATTACTATAGTAATAGTAACATTACTATAGTAATCACTATTACTATTACTATTACTATTACTAGGGACCTTCGAGAAATAGTAATAGTAATAGTAATAGTAAAATAGTAATTACTATTCTACTATTATAGTAGTTTTTCTACCTATTCTAAGCTATAGAATTACTTAATAAGTATAATATACTATAATATACTATAATATAATTAAGGATAGTCTAATATTAAGAGTAGAAATATATATTACTATAGTATATATATAATAGTATAGTAGCGGCTTCTACTAGTCGCTATAGTCGATAATATATATACAATAGTATAGTAGCCGCTAATATTAGCCGCTATAGTTGCTATTATCTAGTAAGGGCAGGTATACTTATATAGGCAGTCTTTCTAATAGCTAGATAGAGCCGTTATCTATTTTATACTATATAATCGTTACAATTCTATTATATTATAGCCGTATACTTAATATATATTTTTTATATTTATACTAGCTATAGGATTACTTATATAGTGCTCTAGACTATATAGATATTTACAGTATAATATAGGTATAAAAGATTAACAGTATCTACCTAAATAAAGAAACTACTATAATAAAAATAATATAATACTGGTATTCTTATAGAAAGTATCTAATAGACTATAATTACTTAATGTTTCTTTCTAATATAGCTATACTATAATCTAAGTCTAGATTATTATAGAATTAAAAGCAATTTATATAAAGAAAACCCTTTAATACCCTTGACTCCTACTACTATATATAATACTACTATACCTAGATAGCTAAGACTAGGCTATTTAGCCTAGTCTAAGTCTATCTCTCTATCGGCTATCTCCTCCGAGTCCTTACTATCTTCCTTACTACTGTCTATCTCGATACTATTTCTAGTACTAAGAATCTCTTCTATAGTACTATAGCTTAGAGATTTAATCTCCTCCTTTGAGGCCGTACTTAAATAGGCCTCTATAAGAATCTTTTCCTCCTCTTTATACTCTAAATTAAAGAAGTTAAGTCTAATAAGAAAGTAGATATCGTCGTAGATATCCGTATAGAGATAGGTATCTCTAGCCGACTCGATACTAGTACTAATAGTAGTATAGTTCTCGGGGGATACTATACTACTATCTAGAAATAGTCGAATAAAAGCTATAATATCTATTAGTATAGAGATATTACTAGATCTTAAGGCTAGTATATAACACTTACTATAGTCTTGAAAGTATAGCGAGTATCTTAGAATATAAAGCGTAAGGTATTCAATTCTAGAAACGATATCGTTATCGTTTAAAGAGTCGATATAAGCTCGAATATCTAGCCGAGAATTAAACTCGTCTAAATTATCGATAGAGTGTACAAAAGCTAAAAATTATTAGTATAACACGTTAGGTTAGTATATTAGGGTATAATACCTTTAATCTTCTTATATTCCTTAATATCGTACTGCTTAATACGCTTAATAAAGTAGGTAATCCGAAGTCGATTTAGATATTCGACGATTTCTTTATTTCCTTTAGCTCTATCACTTAGCAAGCTATTAATAACAGCTAGATTCCTAATAGCAGCGAACAATCAGAGACGAAGGGAAGACAGTTAAGAAGGAAGGGAGGACGAATAGAAAGCACTATATACTAGGGCAGAGGAGGTGCTAAAGGTAGAAGATAGAAGAGCCCCTAAGAGGGCATATAGGATAATAATTTTAGAACTCCTTAGAGGACTGAAAGCAATCTACAACTAGGCAAGCTACGTAATTATAAAGGTAGCTAATACAGTCGCAGCAAAGATTACGAAGAAACAATAGGAGATAAGCCTAAACTACCGCACCTAGGCAGCAGTAGCTAGTTAGGAGGCGCTAAAACCCCCGAGGATAGTAGTTAGAGTCTATATTACGGACCTATAGGAGCAAAAGGAAATCTAAGGACTTATAGGGAAAGAGATTGTAGAAAGAATTGTAGTTAAAGAGATAATTAGGGCTAGGAACGAAGGTAAAGGGGTAATTAAGCTGTTTATAGTATAAGAGTAGGACAAAAAGAAGCTAGAAACACAAAAAGAATAGATAACTAAGATAGGGAAAACAGTAAAGGTCTCCTAATAGCAATTTATAATTATAGCCTATAGTATAATAAGAAGCTTTAAGGAAGAATAGGATATTAAGAGCCTATAGAGACAAAACTAAGCTATATACCTAGGCCTAAAGATTACAAAAGTAGTATAGATTAAAAGGAAAATCGAAGAGACTAAGAAGCAGTCTTCCCTAATTATCTAGGTAGGGAGTATAGAGTAAGCCAACATAGTACTAGACTAGGGGTTGTTCTAAGACTTTAAAAGATTAGAAACAGAGATACATAGAAGCAACTATAGGATAATGTAGTACTTCAAATATCAATACTATAGACACTTAGCAGCTAAATGCATAAAGACAACTAATACCTACTCCTATTATATAGGGGAGCACTAGGTTAAAGAATGCAAAGCATATAAGGGAGAAGCAAAATATATATACTATACTAAAAGACACCCCTCTTAGGCGAAAGAATGCCTAGTAAGAATATAGGCAGCTAGGAAGGCAAAGGAAGCTAGAATTAATATACTAAAAAGATATACAATAAGCTAGGGCAGCTAGGTATAGAAGCAACCTAGCTAAGTACTGCAAAAGAGGTCTAGGCAAGATAATAGGTTTACATTTAGGGCCTTACTAGCACAAGAGAGTCACTAGCAACTAGGGAGACTAAGATACCTTAACATTATAGGAAAGGAAGCAGGGCAGATAAAGCTTAGTTAAATGTTAGTCTAAAGTAAGGGAAGACTAAAGGAAAACTTATAGGGAAATAATATAAATGAAACCTAATAAACATTGCAATATTACTAAATATTATATAGTACAATATCAATAAGAGCAAAGATAAGGTATAGAGGAGCTTCCTTTAAGTACTAAACCTAAAAGAACATTACATTATTGTAATCTAAGAGCCCTAGCTCAACCTATATATAAAGAGACTAGTAACAGTTAAAGACCTAAGATACTACCTAATTATCTATAACTAGGGAGCCTTAAGGATATATATCTATATTAGCAAGGAGATAGATATAGAAACCTAGTAGGCTATACTATAGGAGGATAGGGACCTAATATTAGTTCAAGTAGAGATATTCTAAGGTATACTCTAAGTCTACTATATATACAACCTACTACTAGACTTAAGAAGCAGTACCTAACTAAAAACCCTAGAAAGACTACCTAGAGTTATCTAGGGGAATACCTACTAAATCCTACTTAGGGATTTCAACCTCTACTACCCCCTCTAGGGCTTAGACTTTACCCTAGCTTACTACTTCCTAGCAGGAAGACTAATTAATATATTAGAGAGGGAAGGAATAGAAATTGTTACCCTAAAGGGACTAATTACTTAAGAGGTAAGAGGAAGCAGCAGTATACTAGACCTATACTTTACATTATATTAGATTAGGAATAGGATTACAAGATATAGGGTTAACTAGGAACTAGAAGAATTATTAGACTACTTCCCGGTATAGATTAAGCTAAATATCTAAACTAATTAGGAAAGGGAACTAGAGGAGAAGCTCAACTAGAAAGGTGCCTAATAGGGCAGGATTAGGGAGGAACTAGAAAGGGACCTAAAACTAGAGGAACTCTTAATAAAGCACCTACTAAGGCTAGAGGACATTAATAAGGCAGTAGAAGAACTAATAGGAATCCTAAAATAGGTAGCTAGAAAGTATACCCTAGCAAAGAAACATTCACTATACTAGCAACTATACTAGACTAGTAAGTATATAAGGAAGGTTAAAGTAGCAAGGAAGGCTAGGAGACAGTAGATACAAACCTATACCTAGGAAGCATAAGACAACTATAACAAAGCCTACTAGAAAAAGAAGATCTAGATTAAGAAAGACAAGATATAAGAATAGAGATCTACAATAGGAATAATTACAAAGAAACTAGAGGAGATATAGAGGATAGCTAAATAGGCAAGGAGACCTAAATAGGACAAGGATATACTACTACAATTCCCGGATATTATAGACTAATAAGGACAAATGTAGACTACAATAGAAGGGAAAGCAAGAGCCCTAGGCTACTACTTCTTCTATAGAGAAGTATAAGCAGACCTAGTAGATATAAAGGAGAAAGAACAAGAGACTCTACTACTAGGTATACTAAGAGATACCTAGGTTAAACCCGAAACTATTAAAAGGATCCTA